AGCTGCAAAGACGACTCTTGAGACCATATCAGGTTCCTGGAAGAAGCAGAAACCAGCCACGCTGCCTGGAAGATGGTAGAGCAACTGAGTTACTTGGAAAGGACACTCCCAACCTGTTGAGCTGCCTGCAGGCTGTGCAGTGTGCTCTAGGTTCCCAACTTTTGTGAGCTGTCACCCTTGCTGGGGTGGGCCTTGGTGATGCAACTGTCTTTGAGTCATTTCTGCTCCTGTGTGTAACCCCTCACCCACATTCCTGTAAGTAAAATCAATAAAACTCAGGATTTACCAAGTTGGACTTTGGTGGTATCCATACTTTACTCTGTCATGGGCTCCCTATTTGGGGTGAACTGATTTGTGTGCTGCCTCTCTCCAGGAAAAGCCTTCTCACACACCTTCTTCCCCAAGAGGGTTCTTAAGATCTAACTCAGGTCATCGGGCATGACAGTCACACCTTTACCTGTGGAGTCATCTCAGTGACTCCGGTCTTAGTCTCTTCTGGTACTGTGTGTGGCCATGTAATCCAAGTACAACCAGCACTCTAGATCCAGGTGATACATCTGAACCAGTGATGGCTTGGGCAGATTGGTGCTCTATTCAAGTGCAGCAAAATATAATCAGTCTCATGATGAATCCCTGGGAAAGGGTTTACTTTAAAAGGTACGTGTTCACTTGACATCAAACCTGACAATATTCATTTGAGTACACACGCGCGTGAGTGCGCGCACACACACACACACACAGTAACTAATTTTTTAAATAAAAGATTCCAGAATTGAAAAAAAAAGATTAGCACTAGTGATTTTTCCTAGTACTAAAAATGTATTTCACACATTTCATAAGGCATAAAGGATATTAATTGTTTTCATACTTCTCAGGAATCTTTAAATGTTTCGACATCAAATGTGCTGGCCACATATATGCTAATTCCAATATTTCCGCATTCACGAGTTGTCGTATATGCCAATGGTAATTCACTGGATTATCTCTAATGGTTCATAAAAACCATCATGCTTATTATGTCTTGCATCATGTTTGCTTTGGACTTCTCAAGAACCAAACAAAAATGTACCAAATATAATTAAACAAACTGATGGTATAAAAACATTACTTAGTATTTAAAAAGAAAAGTTAAAATATTAAAATTGAAAGTAGAAAGATGGCTCAGCAGTTAAGAGCAAGTACTAGTCTTCTGGAGGACCTGAGCTTGATTCCTAGCACTCACGTTGGGTGGCTCACAACCACCCTTAACTCCGGCTTCTGCAGGCACATACAATGACACACACAATCCACACACAGACACGCACATACATAGAAGTATATAAATTAAAATTAACTTGCTGGGCTGAAGAGATGGCCCAGTTGATAAAATGCTTGCCACAGAGGCATGAGAAGCTGAGTTGGGATCCCTGGGACCCATGTAAAAAGAGCCAGGCATGATGACACATGGGTAATCTTCATGCTAGGAAGACAAGTGGGTCTCTGGAGCTCACTGGCCAGCTAGGTCAGCCAAATCAGTGAGCTTCAGGTTTGGTGAGAGACCCTGTCATCAAAAATAAGATGGCAAGTAATCTGAGAGGACAGCCAACATCAACCTGCAGCCTCCACACACATGAACACACGTGTGCAACACACACATGCACATGCACATGCACGCGCGCACACACACACACACACACACACACACACACACACACACACACACATCATAACGCCTCTGGGAGCGAGCTAAAATAGGATTATTTGTGTGTTTTAAGGAATTAGGCACAAGTGAAATTCGGAGTATCCATCACTTTCCCAAAGAGAAAGCATTTCAGACGCTGCTCACTTGGACTCTTTCCACTCTGTTTAGCAAATGGGTTTGGCAGATCTCAACAGCCATAACACCATATGTCACAACAAAAGCCAAATGACACTGAGTAGCAGTATCATGGTGGTGTGCTTACTTTTCACTCTGACACCAACTAGAAGTTCAGATGTTCCAAATTCTGCTAACAGTAGGGCCCACACTCCCACATTGCTACTTTACATTTTCCCCACTGTGGACACAGAGTCCCCAGCCCCCACTTCTAGTAACTATGTCTCTGCCCATACTCCATCTCTCTTAAATCCAACTAAGGAAAAATCTAATACCTGAAAAAAAAAACTCTTCAATATCTTATTTTATTCTTTCCATAAATTGACTAAGCACCTATGTCCAGTACTGTATAAGGCCCAAGAAATGCAGTTTAATAACGACAATGACATAAACCTCCTGTCCTCATTGAGTTTACAATCTACAAAGGCATAGAGCAGGAGAGGCGTGTAGTCAGGTGAGAAGGTCCAACAGCTGGTCTTAAGTAAAGAAATCAGGGGATGTTTCCCTTAAGAGATGGGGACAGGCTAAGATCTGAGAGACAACAGGAATGAGCTAGGCAATGAGAAGGGACATGTGTTTCAAATCTCTGAAACATGTGTGCACAAAAAAGTAGTTTCCCTTCCAGATGCTTAGATCAGGAAGGACAGGAACAACAAGGACAGGAAGACAAAGTAAAACACGGTTTAAAAAAAAAAAAACAGGGCTAAGTGGTAATGAGAATAATAGCTGGCCTCTACTTTAGGTGTGTTTTAAGTGCTATGTGTACAGCTTAACCTTTTGAATTAACATTGGATGGCAGTACTTTCACATGAGGTCAAAGACTTATCAGTGAACAGTAATGATAAGCTACTAAGGGTTTTTATTCTAGGGACTAGAACAACTTTGATTAAAATTGCCTAAAAGTCAGCACACAGTGTCTAGTTGGGTTTTATTCCCTATCATAAGGTAACTCCATTTAAACTCTTCTTGAGAATAAGTATACTTTTTAGGAAGCTCCTATACCAGTAGGTTTCCGTTTGGCTTTTTCAAAAGGCTTTTACTGTTAGTGATCCCTCCCAATATGATACCCATATGAACTCACAGCGGTTGTGAGAGCACGCACTAGTGAGACAAAGTTCGAGCAATAAGAAGGAAGAGGCAATGAAGACCACCCCAAGCTGAGAAGCCACTGTCAGTCGACTGGTCACGGGAAGGTCAGTGTTGTTCACTGCTGTGACCTTGGTGTACTGACCACACTCCAGGACAGGTCCCACCTCCAGGAGGAGTTGGCCAACACAAACTGGACTTGACGGGGCGGACAACATAAAGCTGTGTGGGTAGGGAGGTGGGAAGAGCTCTGGGAGGGGTTGGGGAGGGGATGAGTATTATCAGAGTGCCTTGTATTCAATGATCAAAGATTTAATAAAAGCGTTATCAAATGGCAGAGGGGGCTCTGTTTAGAGTCAAGATCAAGAGTCCGAGGAGAATCCGAATGACTCTAGCAAGGGCAGTGAGGAGACAACTGGAGCAATGCAGAATGAAGTTGGTGATGGCAGCAGCAGTGAGAGGGCTTGAGAGAGCAAGCAGAAAAACCAGGTGAAACAGACTTGGTGATGGAATGCGGAAAGGTGTCCTGGTACGAGATCTGGGTGACGACGTCTGAACCAGGGTTGAATAGAACACTGAAGCACATCCTTGGGTAGTGTGCTAGTCTGAATGAGCATGCCCACTGGCTCACACGTTTGGATAAGCGGTGCTGTTTGGCTAGGTTTAGAAAATGTGGCCTTGCAGGGGGAAGTATGTCACCAGGGGCAAGCATGGAGGTTTCAGAGCCAAGCACCATCTGTAGTTGGCTCTCTCGGCTTCCCGCTTACAGTTCAGACTGAACTGTCAGCTATTTCAGCCACTGCGCCTGCTGCCTGCCTGAGGCCCCTGCTCTGTCATCATGGATTCGAACCTTCCGGAAGCCTGAGCCCAAATAAACCCTTCTTTCTATCTGGTGCCTTGTCCATAGCGTTTCATCACATTAATAGAAAAGTAATAATACAAGGGTAGATATGGGGGGAATTAGACAAAGGAGTGGGGAATAAATATGATTAAATCCATTGTATGCATACATGGAATTCTCAAAGAACAAAAATTTGATTAAACTAAGTTAATAGAGTATTATTAGACAAAATGTAAGTTTCATACTAACAATACTACTCTCCTACAACTAATATCAAATGGTAGTATTTTGAATTTCTAAGATATGAGAAAAGAATAAATATAATACACAACAAAATGTTCTTGGCATGTTATTTGAAAAAGCAAAGCATACACACACACATACACACACACACACACACACACACACACACACACACACACACACACACAGTGAGGTACTGGCAAAAGAAGAAACACAAATTCAAACTCATGTTTGTTCAAAATACCAAGAATACAATAAAGAAAAGACAGCCATTTTAATAAATTGTGCTGAGAAAAGTGGATGCAGAAGCATGAAATCAGACTATCATCTTACACTAAATTAAAATATCAACTCAAAATAGATAAAATACTTAAACAAAAAAATCAGGTGTTGTAAAATTACTAGAAAAAAAAACACGGAGGAAAAGCTCTATGACATTAGCCCACCAAAATAAATAAATAAATAAATAGTTTAAAAATATAATCCCTGAGCTAGGGGTGATGGCACACACCTTTGATCCCAACACTCAGGAGGTAGGGGCAGGCGGATCTCTGAGTTTGAGGCTAGTCTGGTCTATAGAGCGAGCTCCAGGACAGCCAGGGCTACACAAAAAAGCCTTGTCTTAAAAAACCAAAAAATAAAAAATTATTATTATTATTATTGTATATATAAAGAAAAACAGGTAAGAAGGTGATTCATCCCTTTACCCCTGCCTTGGCAAAGTCTGCAAATGAAAGATTATATAAAATAAAAATACATACTAGCTCGCTTTAAATCAAGACCACATTACTAACTGTGCTTTAGTCAACTTACTCTGAGCATCAGGTTTCTTTCCTCACATTTCCTGCAGCTCAGTCCTACTGACCTGCCACATCTGTGGTAGAAGTTACATAAAACATTGGAGACATTTCCTGAATCCTAAACCACTCCAGAAAAAGTACTTTTTATAAATAAAAAAAACAACCAGACAAAGCATTTGGAATGCTCAGAATATTATCATCTCTGTTATTTATATGATTTCTTGGGAAGGCCAAATACATTTTAAAGGAATAAGGAAAACATTCAGTGTCTAGTAACATTAAACAACATAATATTGTACCATAGAAAAATGTATATTTATATAGAATAGGTCAATCCTGAGAAACAGTGTCAGCTCAGAAGTTCATGTCCCATCCATCCTCCTGTATGAGTCTGTTTTTGCTGAATACATACCTAGAAATCAAAGGTTAGCAAGCTATACATTCCAAAGCTCTAATTAGACCTTTGCACTTAATCTAAGGCTACATACAGTTTAGAGTAACATAGTGTCCCGTGATGTCGTAAATACTGAGGTAAGATAGTAACAACTTAATTTGTTCTTGGCTGGACGTTGGCTCCCAAACAGTGCCCGTATTTCTAAATGATGTCAACTGAAAAGAATGATATGGGGAAGGCGAGAGGAAATAATGCTCGTAATAAAATTGAAATCACTCTGACACGTAATGTAAGAAAGTATGTAGTTTCTGCCAAGTCCTCAGATACAGGGATGGCTGTAAGTCGTGCCCACAGCAAAGCACCACAAGTGTCACAGCAAGGGCCAGGGTTCCCAAGTACCTTTAAGAAAGAACAGTCCAGCTGTATCATGGCCTATCTTAGATATATTTATATTTAGGAATGTGAGACTTAAAATAAACACCACTTACTTTATCAGAAATATATTGTCTTCAAAAACCTGTTTCTTAAAATACTCATGTACTTTTATTTCATAATGCATAATTAAGATTCTCTCATGTTGTTTTCAACCTTAACCCCCAGAAAATAGAATTCAAAATTTACCAATTACTCTTATAGAACACCGTGAGTTTGTATGTGTGTGTGCACACATGTAAACACACACAGACACACATCACAGAAATTTAATCAAAACTAGCTTTATATTTTCATATGAGCAAACACGTGTGTAATATGATACTACAGGAATGGTAGGAAACTGTTTTATGTGTGTGAAAAAAATTCTCTGAAAACATTCTCCTTAAAGAGGAAAGATAAAGAAATATTAAAATAGTATTAATTGAAATTTTTATAGTTACAAATACTGCCAAATATAGCAAGAAAATTTTTTTTTACTTCTAATGATAAACATTTAATGGAATGTACAAGTAATGCTTTTAAGTCACTTGCCCACATACTCTAATATTTGTGCTTTTTATTTTTACATTTGTACCTTATTGAAACCTCCCCATCATTTAAGGTGCCTTTCTTTTCACATTTTCAAGTTACTTTATAAACTCAGTAGGGTCAATAGTTTTCAGTTTGTAAACTCAGTAATTATATAATTTATTAATCTGATTGGACTTTTTACAGCAATTAAATATAGATTTACGCACATAATTTTAATAACATTTAAAATGTAAGCCTTCTTTTACATTAGCCCTAAAAGCATCTGATTTTTTTGTAAATAACAGTAAATTATTAACAGTGAAATAAATGCAGCAATCTGTATGAGCACAACAGGTCTTCGTTTTTCTTTTTCAAATGTTTCTAAGGAGACAGTGAAATGAGGACCTGACAGCTCCTCACTGTCTTACAGTGTGTGCTGCCTTCGCTGGGACCCCAGCAGCTGACCGACCGCTCGCACCCCATGTTTTCTAACCGGCTTTGGAACACTCATCACTCCACCGTACTGTTTCGCTTTATTTTCATGGAAAGGAAAATCTCCCCCTAACTGGTTACATCCGTGTTTTAAACACAACCGTCCTACTCCAGAGCTGCAGTCCGAGTTCTCGTGGCCACTCGAGCTACTCAAGGGCCATCCTCTTCATTTGGTGGAGGAGGGCATCTCGGGCCGAGTGCGCCTCCGCCAGCGCCGTTTTGGCTTGCGCCAGCTCCTGCTTAAGAGACTCGTTCTCCTCCATGAGCTGAAACGACACAGTTGGAAAACAAGCGGCTGTAATCGCTTCCAGGAAATGTAACTATTTTATGTGGCATCACTTGAGATAGTAAAGCACCCAGTGCTGGTGAGCAAGTCCCCTTGGGCTGAAAACTGCTTCCAGGAGCTATCTGAAAGCACTTATTATGCATTTAAAAGTGTTCCTAAATTTTGACCCAGTAATTCAAAATACTAATTAACTTCTCAGTTCCAAATGTAACAGTGATATTGTTTGGACGTAACATCCTTGGGCCTCTGTGTCTTCAGTCACAGTGACCTCCTTTCTCCCTTATAAGCCTCTGTCCTCTGGCTTTTCTGCCAGCTCCTTCAACTTTATACTTTCCCCCCTACTCCTCTTTCCATCTCTTAGGAAGAACCCTGAGTTTCCACGGTCTATTAGATTTCACAGTTGGTCACCTTCACTTTCTTAGATGGCCTTTTCTATCCATAGGTTCAAATGGCTCACAGATAAGAGACAGCCTGGCCCAGAGCAGCTCTCTCTCATCTCCAGACTCACGTTCCCAATAATCCAGTAGGCATTTTCTTTCAGCGGTCAAAACTTTCTGACACTCAATCCAAGTACTCTTCTGCCCTCTCAGCGCCACAGCGTATGAAGATACAATGAACACTAAGGACAGTCTTAATTTACAGAGATCAATTACAGGTCAGTTTCTATACAGTCACTTCTGCCATCTAGGGAACCCTTGAATAGATCAATGCCCTCCTCCTTCTGCCGTCCCCCACACAAAATTAGAACTCTGCAGAACAGTGTTGTGATTTATAATTGCGAACAATCAGAAGCAACTTGAATGTTAAGAAATGTCAAACAGAAGGTTCAGAAATGATAATACATCCACATCCAGCCACTGAAATAAATGTGAAGCAAATGTAATAATATAAGAAACATGCTATACAAGGCTAAGTGAAATATAGTATACACACTTGAAAACTAAGTAAGATTCTGGAAGGACAAAAATACTGACAGTACTTCAAGAAGGGAGGAGTAATTGGAATGTTTTCTTCCCTTGCTCAGCATCAATAACACTAGCATCTAATGCTTACACATAGCAAGTCATCAATATGCTTTATTTAAATCCATCAAAGGTATTTTAACTATTAGTATTTTAGTAATTGTCAAGTACTAGAATTTCCTATTACCTGTTTCCTTGTAAAGTCAAAAGAGCATTCAGGACAGCTGACGGATTGAGAAGGCCAAAGGATCTCTGGGCTTGTCTGAGTGGCCTGGGTGACACTGTGTTGCTTCCTCACATCACACTTCCCACTGGTCAGCACCACTGAATCACTGTTGGCATTGTCTTGGAAATCAGCTCCAGTGTTAAACATGTGAGAATCTGATCAAACAAATAAAATGCTAAGATAACAACCCCAAGTCATTTGACAAATCTTTACAGTTCTATTATGAAAAACTAATTTTAAAATGAGAATATAGCTGTTAGTATGAGGACAGTGGTATGTGGTAGAAAAACAGGGAACGACAAAACACAGTAAAATAAAAATCTCACTCTTTCAAAAGATCCCAAAACAATAACAACATGGCAAAAAACTAAAAAATAAGATCAAGATGCTGTGACAGAGACATAAACAACCTGTACAAATATTGGTATAGTGAATACACCACATATGAAAATATGAATAGACCCTGGACAAGTAGTGAGGAATGCAAGATCGCCTTCCGTTAAAAAAAATCCAATAATTCTATACATGTACGGAGTTATAAGGGCTATGCAATTTCTTCAGAGCCTGTAGAAAAGGCTCCTGAGGGCTGGCATGGTGGCACATGTCCTTAATCCAGCACTGGGGATGCAGACCAGGGCAGCCTGGTCAAGATGTGAGTTTAAGGACAGTCAAGGCTATGTAGTGAAAAAAACCAAAAATGAAAAAAGGCACTTGAAAAATCCTAAACCTTACCATAACAAAAGTATAGACAAATTGGGAACAGAAGGGAATTTCCTCATTGTGATAGAGATAGACACCCCACAGCTATATACTTAGTGGTACTTTTCCTCTTTGTCCAAATCAGGAACATGACAAGGATGTGTTTTCTCACAACCTCAATACTGTATGGTGATATTTTGTTTGTGCTCTAACAAATAAAGCTTGCCTGGAAATCAGAGTGCGGAAGCAGCCACCAGTTAACCATAGAGGCCAGGCAGTAGAGATTCACACCTTTAATCCCAGCACTTGGGAGGAAGAAGCAGGAAGATCAGGAGTTCAAGGCCACCCTGGGCTACATGAGACTGAACCAGTCTAAAAGAGAAACAGAACCAGGCAGTGGAAGCCCACACTTTTAACCCCAGCACTAGGGAGGTGGAGTCAGTAATATAAGACAGGAGGAAACAGGAGCTGAGTCCTCTTCGGTCTGAGGATTCCGTAGAGGTAAGAAGTCTCTAGTGGCTGACTCCTTTACTTCTCTGATCTTTCAGCTTTTTTTTTTTTTTTTTTTTTTGGTTTTTCGAGACAGGGTTTCTCTGTGTAGCTTTGCGCCTTTCCTGGATCTCGCTCTGTAGACCAGGCTGGCCTCGAACTCACAAAGATCCGCCTGGCTCTGCCTCCCGAGTGCTGGGATTAAAGGCGTGCGCCACCACCGCCCGGCTGATCTTTCAGCTTTTACCCTGGTATCTGACTCTGGGTTTTTATTATTAAGACCAATTAGAAACCATGTGACATCACTGCCCTGGAGGTTCTTAGCCATCACAACTGGGCAGGTAAGGAAATTAAGAAACCCAAACTGAAAGGGAGGAGCAAGACACTTACAGGTGATAGGATCTCGTACACACAAAAAGCATAAGGAATTGGCTAAAAAAATAACAATTGGAGGGCTGGAGAGATGTCTCAGAGGTTAAGAGCGCTAGCTGCTCTTCCAGAGGTCCTGAGTTCAATTCCCAGCACCCACATGGCAGCTCACAACTGTCTATGGGATCTGATGATCTCTTCTGGTGTGCAGATGTACATGCAAACAAAAAACTGGTATATGTAAAAATAAACAAATCTAAATAAATAACTAAACAATTAGAACTAATAATTCTGTTCAGCAAGGTTATAGAATTAAAAAAACAGTAGTGCAAAAATGAACTATATTTATGTACCACTATACAGAATAATCTTAAAATGAAATTAAGAAAATAATTCCAAGCCGGGCATGGTGGCACACACTTTTAATTCCAGCACTAGGGAGGCAGAGGCAGATAGATCTCTGTGAGTTAGAGGCCAGCATGGTCTCAGCCTGAGGTCCAGGACAGCCAGGACTGTTAAACAAAGAAATCCTGTCTCAAAAAAGGAAAAAATAATTCCATTTAAAATGTCTTCAAAATTGGTAGGAGCCCTGTGTTCAACTCCCAGAACCATCCAAAAATACTTTTGGAGAAAAGAATACTTAAATTTAGAAAAGTTGTAACATATCCTCTGAGCCACACGCAGCCATGCCTGTCTGTAACCCCAGCCCTAGAGAGACAGATGAAAGACGCCAAGTTCCAGGCTGGCCTGGGCTACAAAGGAAGACCCTCTCTCAAAACAAAAACCCCTATAGTGTTGCAGAGATTAAAGAGATCAAAACAGACAGAAAGCATTCCTAGGTCCATGTACTGAAGACTTAATATTGTTAAGATGGCAATATTTTCCAACAGACATATAGCTTTAAGGCAGTATCTATCAGAATCTGAGCTTGCTTCTTTGTGGAAATTATCAAGTTGTTTCTAAAACTCATGGAACTACATGAGAATCCGGAGTCAAATGATACTGAAAAAATACAACAATAATGGATGACTTCCATTTCCCCATGTCAACATTTACTCTAAGGCCACCTAGTAACCAAGACAGAGTAAAGCGGCCCTAAGGATACATGGAATTGGAATATGGCTGAGAAACCAGAAGTAAATCGTGTCTGTGGTCCCTAACACACCAAATACCACCAACTCCAACTTATCATGTTAAGTTAAAGAGCTAAATTTAAGAACTAAGTCTATAAAACTCTTAAAGAAAAGCATAAGGGTATGTCTTCGGGCTTGGTGATAGATTCCAAGGAAATCCAAAAGGAAACAGAAAAACTTGACTTCATTTGAATTAAATATGGCTGTGCTTCCCATCTAGTTAAGTTCTCAAGATGTGTTTATTTTGTTTTATATATTTGAGTTTTGCATGTGCATCTGTGCATTTGTGTGTGGTGGAAGCCAGCAGAGGACATTAAATCCTCTAGAACCTGAACAAGTTTTCACCTAGGGCCCATGACCTGCCTTGTCTAAGATTCTTGGCCTCATTAACAGTATCAGGTATAAGCTCCATCTCATGGAACCGGCTTTAAACCCAATTAAAAATTGGTTGGTTACTACTATAATATGCATGCTACCACTGAACACTCGAGTGGGCATATCTCACAACAAAGTTACTATTGTAGCTCACAGGGTCTGGAGCTGGGTGGGATGGATGCCTACTGTTCTCCCCTGCTAGTGTGTCCAGCACTGTCCAGCACTATGGATGCTAGCTAGCTGGTAGGAGTGAGTGAAGCTTCCAGCTGAGAACCAGCTCCAATCCTCCATATTCTATGCCACAAATATGTGGTGTCTTCAGCAGCAGACCTAACCTTCAGAATGTGGAGAGTAACCAAGTCGGTTACGCTATATTGGCAACATGCTATAATGTTTAGGCAGACTGTGGAAGCCCACTGGCCAACAACTCAAGATGTAACCCATTCTGGGGGTTTTATTTGGTAGCACATTATGTCTAGTTTGGGTATTGTCTTCCTCATTATATGATGACTATATTTAAATTATATATATGTATATATATGTATATGTGTATATGTGTGTGTGTGTGTGTGTGTGAAAGCTTCTACAGTCGTAGGTCATACGGCTTTCCAAAGGCCTTTAGTCTTAGTTATCACCACCCCAGATTCCCTCCTCTATCCTGCCTTCCCATTCGTATTAATCCTCCCATCCCACTTTTCCCTTTATCCCTCTATATCCTCCAAGAAGCCCTCCTTCCCCTGGTCCCTCACTGGCTATGCAACCTCTGTGGGTATTCTAAATCAAACACACATGTCTAAAGCACAAAGCGACATCCATATATAAAAGAAACATTCAATGTTGGTCTGTCTGGGTCTCGGCGACCTCACACGGGATGTATGTTTCTAGCTCCATCCATTCACCTGCCTATTTCATACTTTCATTTTTCTTAACAGCTAAACAATTGTGTAACCCAGGTGTTCCTATGGGGAAATGGAAGGCAGAGAAGAGAAAGTTCCCGGCTTGCAGGCCAGCTAGCCTGGAGTAAAGAGTGGTGAGGGACAGACAGACTCTGTCTCAAACAAGATAGACGGTGAGGACGAACCAACACCTGAGGTTGCCCTCAGACTTTCCCATGCTCACTATGGCACGAATGTGCACACAGACACACACACAGAGACGGGAGCAGGGTCACACAAAATCACAAAAGCCTTTCTTATTTTCATTCGAGACTCATCTGCAGAACAGGTATCAAGCTAACTACTGGTGAGTTATTGCCGGGGTTTATATATAAATATCGCAGACTAAAGCATTCCTCGGTCATCACTACTGCCAACCCGTACAATGAGTGACATAACAATCAGCACGCAGATGACTCAGCGTCGACATGTCAGGAGCCCCTGACGTCACTCTCAGGGTACCTCTGATGTGGAAAGAGCCGTCATCATCCCTCTCCACCACAAGATGGTCAATATGCAGGGTCACAGGACTGGGCTGAAGGGACACTGTGTTACTCCGGGGACTGTCATCCTAGAGTAAGGGACAAAATATTGGCATGTTCTTATTAAAATATTAGAATAGTCGGTGCACGTCTTTAACCCCAGCACTCGGGAGGTAGAGGCAGGCAGATCTCTGTAAGTGTGAGCCCAGTCTGGGCTACAGAGTGAGTTCCAGGACAGCCAGAGCTACATAATGAGATCCTACCTCAAAGGAAAAAATAAATAAATAAAATAGTCAGCTGAAATAAACATGACTTGAGTTAATTCTACTTTTAGTGAGTTATACGCTTATCTATATCATTTCAGTTACTATATCAAGACAATTGCCTACACTATTTTCCCTTTCTAAAGTCTCTAACACTCACTGTAAAGATTGCTCATTCGTTTTCATAAATTCGACCAGAGGACATCATTTAGAGAAGGCATGATTTCAGACATGAATCAAAGTCCAGAGGAGGTAATGCAAACATTTCTGAGACTAAGAACTTAGCTCTTCACGTACTTTTAAATTTATCTTTGTATTAGAAACTTGTATCTTCATTGGCATTACAGTTGCAACAGTTTCATCCTCCAAAAAATGTTGAATATTCAAAAGAGAAGAGGTTAGGAACTCAGTACTGAAGTTCTCTATGTGGCATTGGAGAAACCCATTTTTTTCTGCAAGCAGTGAGTGTATTACAGCACCAGGCCCACTTTCAAACCTCAGCGAAATCTCAGGAGAGGATTTGGGATGAACTACAGCATTGTGGTCAGAACCTATGAAACAAACATAAAAAACTGTAACTTTGTAACACTACTCAAAAGAACATTATATGCCATTAAGATTATAGGAAAAATATCAAAGGAACTACATAGTAAAGGAAGATATGAAACAGCTTTAATATTTATTAATTTAAATATTCTATAATATAAATAAGATATATCATAAGCATCATAATTTCACTTTTTCTAGGTAATTTTCAAATACAATACTGGCAACTTTTCTACATTTTCTACTTTTTTATGCTAGGGAAAAATCATGATCAACACTGAAAGAATGTGCTCTTCAGACCAACCCCTGTGTGAGCACGCAGCTTTGTCTCTGTAGTAAGATGACCGTGGTAAAGCGGCCAGCACACTTAAAGTGACTCCAGGCTCTGCACCTTCCTCACTAATCCGGGCCTTAAACAATGTTAAAGTACACAGAGAAGATGTTTTCGAAACATTCCTGAAGGACACTTAAAAGTGAAATCATAAGAATATATGTAACTCATGGATAATTACATTTATTTATGGCTTGACTTTGTTCCAAGAAAGAATTTGAGTTGATTTACCAAGATAAACACCAATATCTAAAAACAAATTTTAAAACTTCAATATAAGTTTTATAGAACATGTGGAGAGATGGCTCAGCACTTAAGAGCGCTGGCTGCTTCTCCAGAGGATCTGAGTTCAATTCCCAGCAACCACATGGTGGCTCACAAACATCTGTAATGAGATCTGGTGCCCTCTTCTGGTGTTCAGGCCAACATGCAGGCAAAACGCTGTATACATAATAAAATTTTTAAAAAATCTTAAAAAAAAAAAAAAAAGGTCTGTTTACCTCCACCTCCCAGTATAGAAGTGACAGCATACTTTCTGATATTATGCAAGCCAGTATTAATTTCTATACATTACGTATCATACAGAATTCTATACACATAGCAAAGAAAAATTTCACTCTGGCATTTAATATGGTCTTCCTTGAGCTGAGTCACAATAAAGACAGGACTACTAATGAGCCATGCATAGAACACAAGATAAATTTAAAACATATTAAGTATTTTGTGTGAAAAGTGGCTTAAAGAAACCCCTTACCAATTGGACGATTTCCAAGGTAATGCCGCAGACTAATGTTGCCTAACTGACTCGGCGTCACCTGGTTCACTTGAAGACAGATTTCGGTGTCTTCTCCTCTGATGTCAATCTCCCCATTAATGCCAGTGATTTTAAACACCACAACTGACATCTATCAATGATTGTATAAATGCTGTTAGTACACCAAAGAAAATTAAGAATAATAAAAGAAACAAATATTAACCTCTATAAATACAATCCTGACTTATCAATCAAACTACCCTTAAGGCCCGAAAAGCCTAGCTATTGTGTTTTACAGCTTGGGCGTCTCCATTCAAAATCAGAAATCACTGCTTTTCAGTGATAATGCGATGCCACAGTAGAAAATTCCATAGCATTAATCTGTTTCACAAGACTATCAAAAACTGTATAAAATTACCTATAGGCTATGTGTATAAGGAATCTATGAGACATAACCAACTTTGGGTTTAGAATTGGGTTCTGTACACAAGATATCTCATACTTATTTGTAAAAATTTCCAAAATGCAAAAATTTGACTACTTCTGTACTGAAGTACTTCTGTACCCAAGAATTTTGGACAAAGGATGTTCGATCTTGGTAGAAAAACCCTAACTGCTTTTGTTTTCAATCAGTAAAGAGAAAGTATTTTGGTTACAAAGAATAATAATGTGACATTTCCACATAAGAATGGATGGTCACTAAAAGTAGGGTATGTCTAAATTCTTTCATAATATTTCACTGTGTCAGAATAGTTAAGAGAAACTAGCAACCTATTTTCTTTGGAGAAAGGCCTGTATTGTAAAGACTGACTACCATCTGTACCATCAAACTTTTAGAAAGTATACTCAAAGGGAACTAAAATATTGGTCAAAATATAAGCGAAACAGAAGATAGAAAAAATGCAGAACAGACCTACTCCCCACCCTTCTTCAGTACAAACAAAACAAACTTAAGACAGTGAAGCACAAGAACAGCCAGTTGATTAAGCAGAAAGAACTTTCAAGAGTAGAGGCAGCAAAGTGAATCATCAGCATTGACGCAATCACTGCATGAGGTCCTACGATGTGCATGCATCTAGATGAAGAACAGACATTGACGCAATCACTGCATGAGGTCCTACAATGTGCATGCATCAAGATGAAGTACTGACATTGACGCAATCACTGCATGAGGTCCTACGATGTGCATGCATCAAGATGAAGTACAGACATTGACACAATCACTGCATGAGGTCCTACGATGTGCATGCATCTAGATGAAGCACATCCCAGAACTCGGGGATGATTACCAGGTCATCGCGGCTCTCCGGAGCGCCCTCTGAGTTGGTACTGACAGCGTCTGGAGAGGCTTCCCCACCACTCTGCACATTTGCACTGGTGTTCACACTCTCTGCTGGGCTCTGGCCATTTGTATTTGAGTTCCTTTTAATTGCTGAAATAATGCAAAAGTAAATTAATACATTAGAATCTTTTTATATATGTTCCAGCAACATTTCTATTTATCAAAAATGGACTACCCCCTTTACCTCTTTCAAGCAAAGCTTTGTTTAAATAGCACTAAGCAAATTAGGTCAAATCATGGTGTCTTAGAACAACAATAAAACGTCAGAGATACTGTGCTGGCTAGACTGATGTCAACTTGACACACCCACAGCCATCTGAGAGAAAGAAACCTCAGTTGAGAAAATGCCTCCATAAGACAGGGCTGTGGGACAGACAGCCTGTAGAGCATTTTCTTAATTAGTGATTGATGGGGAAGGCCCAGCCCATTGTGACTGGGGCCATCCCTGGGTTGGTGGTTCTGGTTTCGATAATAAAGCAGGATGAGCAAGCCATGGAGAGCAAGCCAGTAAGCAGCACCCCTCCATGGCCTCTGCATCAGCTCCTGCCTCCAGGATCCTGCCCTATGTGAGTTCCTGTCCTGACTTCCTTCAGTGATGGACTATGATATGGAAGTGTAAGCTGAATAAACCCTTCCCTCCCCAACTAGCTTTGTGGTCATGGTGTTTCATCACAGCAGTAGAAACCCTAGCTAAGACAAGATACTACAGCCCTACATCTGGTAAAATCACAACGACAATGACAGTAAGAATGAGACAAACAGGCAGACTCCTGCTGCTGAGGTAGCACCGCTGTAACGGGGAGTGCTGTCAGCTCCCCATCCCCACCTCCCCACACTGCACAGCTTCAGTCGGAGTGCCTCTCTTCTCTTCTCCCAATCACCTCTCACGTGAACTGACTTCCAGGACTGCTGCCACGATTTCTAGCTGCCTAAATGTTTCAGTGTGTTGTGCTTCCGTGCACCTCAGGCTCTCTATGGTAGCAGATCATTTTTGGTCTATCACAGACTAATACTTTAAAGTACATAAAGATCTGTCACAAAAACGGGACGGCAGAAGTCAAAGACACAGTCCCATAAGGCCCGACTCAGCACTGTGTTCACCACGCACCTATCTGCACTCTCCCCCGCTGCTGGTCAGTGTGGAACGCTCGGTAAATTATCCACCTGACGTGGCACCACAGGTGTCTGCGATGGTAACTGTGGTATGCGATATTACTAGAGCATTTCAGAGTCTTCCTCACAGTCCAGAGACTAGGATCTATGATGGAAAGTTTTACTAAACTGTACAAAATGTGAAACAGCTTTCCAGGCACAGGTCAGTAAGATGGCCTAGCCTGACAACGCGAGTTTGTCCCTGGAATCCACGTGGTGGAGGAGAGGGACAACTCCTGCAAGCTGCCCTCTGACCTCTACACTCAGGCCATGGAACATGTGTGCTACCCTGCCCCCCCCCCCCCCCCCCCCCCCCCGTCGTTCTGTCTGTCCGCCTGATGTAATTAGCAATCACTGGTGTAACTGTAAGTACTCCTCTCTGGTGAGGACTCACAGTGCTGTTTTACCTTTTCCCAACAACACATGGCTATCACTTCCATCACTCTCCAGCTGCTCTTCTAGCATCATGCTGTCCAGTGAAATGGTGTCCAGGGAGACCTGGGAGGCGCTCCTTTTCATGTTCTTGTAAGAAACAGACAGTGGAGCTGGGGTGGCTGGGCAACGTTCCTTAGCTTTTACACTGTTAGCAAACAAAATTAAGAGGAAATTACTGCAGGTATAGAAAAGAAGTTCACCTTAAAATACTCTCAAGAGCTGTGGGGAGAGCCAGTGTACCCTGTAGTCCCAGCACTGGGAGGCAAAGGCGAACGGGGCAATGGCCGCCTCGCCCTGCCAGGCCACCAAGGAAGACAACTTGTAGTAAAGCTAGCGTATCACACAGCATCCGAAAATATACCAAAACGTAGAAGCTCAAAGGCTTCCTCAGATTAGGAAAATAGACTCTTTTAATTCTACCAAAGTCACATCTTGTCATGAGGTTTCCTGCTCCCAAACAAAAGAAATAGATAAGCCAAAGGAAGAACAACAAAACTAAAACCATCTACATCCCAACGGTGTCATTACCTTAAAGAGGACTGGGACTTAAGTGCTCTGGTGGTGGGCACCTCCTCTTTACTGTTCTCCAGGTTCTCAGGGAGGGAAGCCCCTTCAGGAAGGAGATCTTCAGCTCTGAAAATTGACTCTACCGCTTCACTTCCTTTACCAGCTAAAGCATTTGAAGGTGCACTTTGACTACCGTCGTTATTCAGGGAAAGCACATGTGAGTCATCTCTGTAGTTCAAGATGCTATCCGAGTCTGTGCCGGACACGTCCTTTCCGGGACTCACTTCTGACATCACTTCTCCTGAGTCACTCTTGTAAACGAGTCCACTGCTTTCATCTTCACTTATCTTCCCTAAATGTTTGTCTGATATGTAGTCCAGAAACGAAGTGCCTGTTTGCAGGTTTGTGTCACTGGCTGATTTAAAGAGCAGAGGATCCTTTATGGGGACATGGCTAAGGTCAACACTCATCGACCTGTTGTCGGACATGTGATTCAGAGTAGCGTTTCTGATTCGATGGACACTGCTACCGCCTTGTTTTCTCCTTGAAGACAAAAACCCCCCATTTTCGGAGGGCAGGTAGTCGGGGAGCAGCGGGCTCACACCTTCAGAAGCGGGAGAGCGCAGCGTGCTTGCGTGGTCCACGGGATGCAGCAGCAGGGCAAGCTCGGCACTCCTAAGCAGAACCCCAATGCAGACGGAAGTCTGAGAAGCAGGGCTGCCAGTCACAGCTTCCACATCCTTCCGTAGGGTGTCCGAAAGCAGAACCAGCGACTCGTGTATGAAAAGCAGCAGCAGATATTGGTAGTGATTGATCTGCATGCTGACATGTTTATGAACGCGGACCAGGACGTGAACATCCGCATCTGAAGACGAAGAGGAAACCCTTAAACATGTTTCTGACGCGGGTCTATGACCACCGTTTGTCAGAGGCTCCGACTCCGTACTGTAGTACTCCTTCAAGAGCTTCTTCCGCTTCATTCGGCCAGCCAGGTCACTGGATTCACTTTGTGAGGAATTCAGAGACACTTGCTCACAAGTCTGGAGCTCCTTCTGTAACTCGGCATATCTCGTTGGTTGGCAAATCCAGATAGACAGAGGGAAGGAGTCTACGAAGCTTATTGGCCGCCCCTTTCCGCTTTTCATCCCTTCATAGTCTATCCAAAACTGGGAGAAGTACACTGCCCACACATCGGTGGCAGCAGACGTTTTCAGAGTGTTTTTATTCAACTTAGGAATGATATTCCCTTTATAAACTTCATGCATTTTGGTGTCTTGTTCGTGAGCATGTCTCTGGAAGATCGGATGAAGAAGATTAAAACTGTCACAGGACTTGGGGAATCTAGTGTAGGTTTTGCTAAAGAAGTCGCAGTCTTTGAAGTCTTGAAACAAGGCCTCGAGATCCGAGTGGCGGCAGTGGGGACAGTGCCTGGTGTTGGTGGCGGTCATTTCGGAGCTCTGGATAGACACCGTGTGGGGCTGATCTTGATGGCAGCCTGCTTTCACTTCAGAAGGGATGACAAACTGGAAGGGAAACAGTCCATCTAGTTCAACAAATCCCTACACCTTGATAAAACACAAGACTTGCAATTCTGTTTATGATACTTTCCCCAAAAATACTTCCTTCCTCTCCTGATATAAATCCCAACTTCTCCCTCTGCCGAGTCTTCTAATAAATTCAGTTAACGAATTCACCACTGAAGAAGACGATACACGTATTGTAAGACATCAAGTGTGTTAACAATGCTCATGATTATGTATTTTTAATCATGCAATAATCAGAAAAATCCAGGTGTGGAGGATGTAGCTCACTGATAAAAATGCATGCTATTATATATAAGGCCTTAGATTTGACATCCAGCACCACAGTACATATAGGTAAATAGGTAAATAAATAGATGTATTTTTCAAAACTTACTAAGTGTTTATGAGTACACAGGAAAAACTAAGTCTGAAAAACAATATTGATATTATTGTTAGGATTTTTAAATCCAAGTGTTTTAGGAGATGACTAGATAAATGACAGACTAGACAGACAGATGTGATCAGACTCGGCCGTCTGGGCTGGGTACGAGCACATCTGTAATCCCAGCACTAGATAAATGACAGACTAGACAGACGGATGTCATCAGACTCGGCTGTCTGGGCTGGGTGTGAGCACATCTGTAATCCCAGCACTCGGGAGAAACAGGCAGGGGATCTTTTAAGAGAACAAAGCTAAGATGATGGTCAAACCCACTGAGATAATTCTCAAGAGTGAACTGAATCTAGTCTTTGAATGCTCATATCAGAGTTCAAAGTGGCTTCTGGGTACTGTTTATACCCAGAAACTACAACGATCATTATTTAGTTCTATCTCAAGCACAGCTCTATCTCAATTTATGCTAAATTGAAAAGATTTTTATTTATGCCAGGAAATGTAGGCTATTATTTGCATAATTTTTTAAAAAGAGGTTACAGTATATAATACATCAACAACAGACCTTGCAAAAAATTGTCAGTTATGTCCGGGGTTTACTCCATTTACTAAACTGTTTTGTATTTTAATCTTTTCCCTTTAAAAATCTAAGAATATACACAGTTCAGATTAGCAGCTACTTACTCACAATTAAAAAGCCACTTTTTTGTTAACTTTGGATATAAATAATGGAATAATATGAACAAATACAACTCATACAATTTAAAAACTTTGTTGCATATTTAACCTTTTTTAGAAGAAAAATTGTATAAACCCTGTAGTGGGGGGGGGCAGTAAAGATTTTTAAAGAGTTCTTTTGTAGCATTGGTTTGGTTCTTTGTTTATATTTAGTGTCACAGGGGTGTGTGGAAGTCAGAGGACAACTTGCAGGAGTCCCTTTTCCTTCCATGGTGTGGGACCTGGGGACTGAACTCAGGCAGGTCATCAGGCTTGGCTATCAGCACTCTACCTGCTGAGCCAACCCAGGAAATAGTTACATTTTACTGCTCTATCTTACTTCAAGATGAGTAGACACAGACAAAAAATAAAACTATAAATATACAAATGGGAAGAAAAGCAGTCCCTTAGGTTTTCTATAACTGCAAATCAAAATTCGATCTTAAATTTCAACATAAAAATTGAAGATTATAATTATGTTATAAATATTCACATCTGAACACTGTGTTATATCCTGAAATTATAACACTGTCAGTTGCATTTCTATAAAAATGGCTTTGCCCTCAGCTCGATGTAATGGCACATGCCTTTAATCCCAGCACTTGGGAGGCAAAGGTAGGCAGATGGATCTATATGAGTTCCAGGCCAGCCTGGTTTATATAGTGAGTTCCAGGACACCAGCGCTACATAGTGAGACCCTGTCTGTCTGTCTGTCTGTCTCTCTCTCTCTGACTCTCTTACACACACATGCACACAAAGAAAAAACGGCTTTGTTTTCTAAGCCTCTTGTATACAATACCTTTAGCATTAAGCCATCAACTCGAATATCAACGTGCTCATCAGATTTTGAATTGTCATTCAACTTGTACACAGCCATGAACTGATTAAGACTCTGCTTTAAATCTAGTAGAAACTGGTTTAACCATAGAATGCTTCTTTCATCTACAGTAAACTGTAGAGCATTCAGCTGGCTATAAAGGTTGGGAGATGGAACTGTGGAGAAAAAAATGTTAAGTACCATTAATGAACAGATGGCTATATTTCCCAAGCAAAGATATTCTTAACAAGTTGCATTCTTTCTTAATAAATATCACATATGAAGTTAGATACGTGGCTAACAGCAAATACAGACACAAGACATTTTTCAATGCTTCATTAACTGAAAAATATACTTTAATGTAAAATTAAATGTATAAACAGGAAGTACTATTAGATTCATACAGAAGCAAACTTCTAAAAACATCACCTTTTAAAAACACTGTCAAAGTCACGTCCCGTGTGACCTGTCTGTAAATCCTTTACTATCTGTATCACCCTCTGCATCCTCTACAGCCAGTCTGCTAGGAAAGCCATGTGCTGGACAGAAAGCCCAAGAGGAAGGAGCGTGAGCAACTCACTTCCTCTTTAGTGAAGGCCTAGAACAGAGCTTTGGGCAGAGCAGTAATTCAAGTGTCTCGAATAATCTGTTAATACACACTAAACTAATGCTGATAATTCAAGGGAATTTCATTTCTGAAACTACAAGTATATTAATCATAAAAGCTACAGGTTTCCGAACAGTTTGATGAGGTCTTTATTCTAGAAAACTAATAATCCTGACAGAGGACCCCAATTTCCCCAGTAACACGTGACACACCAAGTGAGACTCCCCACGGTTTCTAATAACAATGGTACATAGTCATGATACCCATAACTAATAGTTCAACAACAACTTGAACTATTCTTTCAATTTACTGGTACTAACTCCTACAGAACCAACTCTTGTTCTTAGATGGATACATATAGATTTGTGTTGTTCAAAAAGAAAAAGGCCTTTACTCCAGAGATGAGGTGAATGTCTTTCCACAGTGATACATCTGTACTCCCACAGGCCTAAGACCAATGGTGGAGGCTGAGGACAGGCTGAAACTGCCCAGACTGCCCTTAACTCATTAATGCCAGGAGCTGAAGCCGAGTAATTGGAAGAACTTGAAGGACAGAAGGAGTAGACAGTGAGATAGTTCTCAGGGCTGTGAAGATGATGAAGATGTGACATAAGTAGACAGGCGGGATGATTGGTCCAAGGACAAACTGTAAGAACAGAATATATGCCTGAAAGTAAAATGTGGACCTAGACAGCAGACATCCCTTCATCAGTCTGATCTGTAACAAAATTGAGTATGAATGGAATAAGGAATTCCACTGGGATATTGGATGCCCAGAGCACATCACTGTCAGCAAAATGGAAAAATTCCTATAGCATCTGGGCTAAGGCATCTTAATGATATCCAAGACAACATAAAGTTTCCACGGCATACAGTTCATTTTAATAATCTAAACTTATCTAAAACCAACTACCTCCTATGCATATAAATGTCTCAATTAAGTAAAGGAATCCTAGCAGGTAAACATGACCTGAGCTTTCTAGGGATATAATAACTATGCACACACCTATTAGGTTTTCAGGTGGTAGGAGAGGAAACACACTACAATGCTCCCTTCTGTTGTTAAGGTACCATGAGTTAAACACTAACCTGAAGTGCATGAAACTGAATTTAGGTCCACAAGGTGAAAACATGGTTAAAAAAAAATGTCAGGTGGCGAGAAACTATGTTTCTGAAAAGTAAAATCTTAAGGAGAGGCAGGAATGGTGTGCTTTCTCCATCCCAGAGAATCAGGAATGGTGTGCTCTCTCCATCCCAGAGAATCAGGAATGGTGTGCTCTCTCCATCCCAGAGAATCAGGAATGGTGTGCTCTTCCTATCCTGGAGAATCAAGAATGGTATGCTCTTCCTATTCTGGAGAATCAGGAATGGTATGCTCTTCCTATTCTGGAGAATCAGGAATGGTGTGCTCTCTCCGTCCTTGAGAATCAGGAATGGTGTGCTCTCTCTGCTCTGTATATCCATATACATAATAAATACTTTGTTTAGAGTCTTTGTGTTAAGTGACCAGTGCAGTAGCACACGCATTTAATCCTAACACTGGAGGCAGAGGCAGGCAGGAGTTCAAGGCCAGCCTGGTCTATATAGCAAGCTCCAGGACAGTCAGGGATACATAGAGAGACCCTGTCTTTTAAAAAAAAAAAAAAAAAAAAAAAAAGTGAAGCAGAAAAATACATATATGGGTATGTGATTTTGAGATTAAAGTCAGTCTTAAAAATGTTTTGAGAGAGAGAATGCATGCACAGAATTTCAGATCAAATTAAGAAAAAGAAATCCCAACATGTAGGAAACCAAAAGAAAGAATGAATATTCTACCAATGATCTGCATTTGACTTTGGAGACTTGCATTCAGCTCTTCACTCAATTCATGAAAGCAAAAAAGATTCACCGAAGGTCTACATTTTCTGCATTGTGCTAAGGACAAAGAACGTAAGAGAAATAAAGCATGGTCCAATTCCATTAAAATTTCTATACATGAGATAAATATGAAATGAAAACAGTGATTCAAGCCTCTCAGAGGCCAGCTGTGATGCCAAGGTGTTTGTCTTTAGTAATAAAGGAAAGCGGAGTGCAGAGGAGAATGCTCACACTCTGGAAGGGAGGGAATTCCTAGTTAAAGATGGTGATGGCAGCAGCCTAGAGAAGACTAGAGAGCAAATGTAGCCCCAAGCTGGGCACAGAGAGAAGGAAGGACACTGAGCAGCAGGGGGCTCTACGTGGGTGGCACTTCCAAGAGGGTCTCCAGATGACCGTGTAGCTCAGAGATATTCCTGTTCTTATTTGTTGTTCTGGTGGGCATGTTTGTCTGGGGCTGTGGTGATGCTGGGGACTGGAAGCAGGCATCACAGATGCCGGGTGAGCATTCTAAACTAAGTCACATCTCAGCCTTAAAAATGTATCAACTTAGCTAGCAGAACCCTTCACTGGGCTATAATCTTAGGGGAAGGGGTCAGTATGCAAATCAAATATGAAAAAGAGGCACATGTGTTAAAAACAAGTTCAAGAATACTATATTTCTATGAGCCAAACTGCACACCCCACCCCATGCCTCCAAACTTTTGTTGAAGTCTTTAGATTCAGCACCTCGGTGACTATCTGGAGCCAGAGCTCCTGAAGAGGAATTAAGGCAAAGCTAGTCCATGTGAGAGGGCCCTTGTCCAGTGTGGCTGATGCACAGTGGTACACACCTTTAACCTCAGCACTTAGGAGGCGGAGACCAGAGGCCAACCTGGTCAATAGAGCAACTTCCAGGCCAGCCAACCAAGGCTACACAGTGAGATATTGTCTCAGAAGTGTTTAAAAGAAATCATATAACCTGGAAACAAGTCTTAACTCCAAAAAAACCAACACCTTACTTGCAGAATGATGTATTTAAATAAGTACAACCACCCCTGAGGGGTTCCAGCAAGATGAGACAAGGGCAGACAAATGGCTGTCCCGAGCCGTGGGGAACAGTGCAGTACTGTGGGAAGGAAGCAATGGTTAGACCATGCCTGGGTTTCAGTTGTGCCGTTTCATTACTTAGAAGACACTGAGAAAATGTCTCAACCCTATCTTCTTAGAAGAATGGTGGAGAGAACAAGTGATAAATGCACATACACAGAAAAATGCTGGAAAATGGAAAACTGAGGGAGGCCTAGATGTCATCAGTTTGGCACAAACAAGGAAAGGTATGATAAAATACTAGACATTTCTCTAAAGTGATTTCTAGAATGCTTTATTTTAAAATAAAAGCAAAAACAATTTCAGGAGCATCAAAAATTCGTGTTGAAACTAAAAGCCTACATTCGCAAGTCGACACTGGGCTGGGGAGATGGCCCAGCTGCTCTCCCCGCTGGCCCCAGGTCTGATCGCCAGCTCCCATGTGGCAGCTCAGAACTACCTGTAACGCCAGTTTCCAGGCATGTGACGCCCTCTTCTAGCTTCCTCACACACTACACGAGGTGGTGCACAGACATGCATGTAGGCAAAACATCCATGCACATAAAGTGATAACTTTTAAATAAATACATCAGCATTAAAGAAACAGACCAAGTCTTATGAGGATGAGGACCTGAGTCCTCAGAAGCCGTGAACAGAAGCCAGGTCTGCCCAGCTCTAAGCCCAGCACAGGGAGTAAAGTCAGAGGAGTCCCTGGGGCTGCTCAGCCAGCTGCCTAACACACTTGGTAAGCCCCAGGCCAGGGAGACATCCTATCTCAAAAAACAAAGTGGGTCATGGTGGCACACACCCTTAGTCCCAGCCCTCAAGAAGGAGAGGCGTGTACATCTTTGAGTTCAAGGCCAGCCTGGTCTACACAGTGAGAGTACCAGGTCAGCAAGGGCCACATAGTGAGACCCTGTCTAAAAAAGCCAAAGCAAAAACCAAGCAAACAAACAAAAAAAATCAAAGTGGACAGTGCATAAAAATAATGACACCTGAAGTTGGTCTCTGACCTGTACATACATATATCTGTGTACCTGAACACACACACACACACACACACACACACACACACACACACACACACACACACGTGTGCAAAGATCTCAACACAAAGGAAGACTTTATTTTGAAGAATTATGGTGAAATGAAACAAAAGCGCATAATTTTAATATTCAAATAAACAAATGTATAATCATTTTAACTGTAGGAAGCCAAAAGAGTCAAGAAAAATTCTTTACAACTGAAAGGAAACTTCAATTTTTTCAATTTTAGTAAAATGAAGTTTTCTAATTCTCACTTGTTTACAAAAGAAAAAAATGACAATTTTCTCCAATAACATTCATTCATACTTCATTTAACAAATAAGTAGTAAGCACAAAAAAGCAAGATAAAAGCAAATAAAATCAGTGACAAATGCCACAAGATTCCTGCCATCAAAGATGGCACAGTAGGGTGGAAAAAGAACATATGAATAACTATTAACAATGTGTATAAATTTAGTATAAAGGGTATGTCCTAAACACAGTGATAAGAATAGATTTTCCTACATAAATTAATAAAACCCAAAATATTCATCCAATAATGAACAAACAATAGCTAAGTAAACTCTCTTACTTGGAAAATCTTTCCCATCTGGATAGTAATATTCTGTGAACTCTATATAGATAGCTGACATTTCTTGTGGAAGATACAGGGATTTTTTGTTGCAGGAAATCATACTTTTGGGGGAAGAACGACATTGCTCTGCTGTAGAGACCTGAGGAAACAAGTTTGCTTAAATTATACAGAATAAAGCCCTTCCCAAAGAACTTTTACAATGGACATACACATCACTTTGCATCTTAAAATACTGTCTTAAAGTCTCTTCTGGGTGGGCTCTGTGGGTAAAGGTACTTGCTGCCAAGCCTGATGGCCACATGGTGAAGAGAACAGACTCCTACAAGTTGTCCTCACACCTCAACATATCTGCTGTTGTGTGCAGGGGTGCAGGTGTGGGTGACACATTAATACATAAATAAATGAACAAAAATAATAATCAAAATGAAATATCCACCAACCATTCAGAAAACTCTATAACCAATTCAGATCTTTACCAATTAAAAACTTAACTTCGCTACACAGAGAAACCCTATTCTGAAAAAAAAAAGAAAAAAGAAAAGAAAAAGCTTCACTTCATACATTATCTTCGGTAAACTTACTATTTTGAGCCTTAAAAATGAAAGGAAACTAGGAATAATTGTATATTATTAGTCAATATAGACAAATAAGTGGCAGATTCAGGACACAGAGTGGATTGACAGCCAGAATAGTTCCTCAGTATATTCTTTATAATTCATTATAAGTTCTCTATTATTGTGAAAACATGTTAGAGTTTGCCATTCAGAAAAAAACAAAACAAAACAAACCTCTGTAGATAGATGATGGTGTAGTCACCTAATGTGAATATACTTAATGTCAATGAATTGTAATTTTAAAATAATTATAGTGAGGGCTGGAGAGAGATGGCTCAGAGGTTAAGAGCATTGACTGCTCTTCCAGAAGTCCTGAGTTCGATTCCCAGCACCCACATGGTGGCTCACAACCATCTACAATGAGATCTGGTGCCCTCTTCTGGCATCCAGGCAAACATGCAGACAGAAGACTGTACACATAACAAATAAATAAATCATAAAATATTATCATCATCATCATCATCATTATAAGCTGGGCAGTGGTGGTGCATGCCTTTAATCCCAGCACCCAGGAGGCAAAGGTAGGTGGATCTCTCTGAGTTCAAGGCCAGCCTGGGCTACAGAGTGAGTTCTAGGACAGACTCCAAAGCTACACAGAGAAACCCTGTCTCAAAAAACAAAAACAAAACAAAAGAAACAAACAAAAATAATTATAACGGAAAAGTGTGTCAATTTTACAGAAAAAATTGATGTAAAACACCTAACTATAAATAGTTCAGTGAAATGATTTGATTTCTTAGTTGTTCCCAAGAGGACTTATTTTTAAGGCCCTAGATAGATTGTTTTCACATTGGGTTGGGGATATGTACAATCCCTGAGTTCAATCTCCAGCACTGCACGATCCAGGCATGGTGCCTCATGCCTGTAACCCCAGGATGCTGAAGGTGGAGCCATGAGAAAAAGTTCAAGGTCAACCTTAGCTACAAGGCTGGGACACAGCAGAGCCACTATAACAGAGTATTAATTCTCATCAGATGATGTTTTATCGATTGATTTATTGGGCTGTTAGTAGGCTTGCAAGTTTCATTTGTTCAACAAATGTGTATATTTCTTTTTCATTAATTATTATTATTAAAATTGTGTGTGTGTGTGTGTGTGTGTGTGTGTGTGTGTGTGTGTGTGTGTGGCAGTAAGAGGACTTCAGGGAGTCGGTTCTCTCATCCCATCACGTGGGTCCCAGGCTTGGAGGCGAACACCTTCTTCACCTGCCGAGCCGCCCTGCCGGCTCCACATGTGTCTATGTCTTGTGTGAAGTATTGAGAGAGTATATTTTCTGTTGACAATGTTTCTTCTTGAAATAATCCAATTTTCTGCTTACTTGTACACATAGATTTGAGAAAGTTTACATTACATTATTTAAAAACTCCTCTGCACATACAGAAAAAAAAACCCTAAATTATGTCAATTTAATAAACAAAAGCATATTTTAATTGTTAAAGTTATTAAAACTGAGATGAAATATCACTATTTTTGTCACTTTTTTGTTTTTTTTTAATAATGTTTCTGGATACAGAGTTTCTTCACTACACTAACTATGAACAATTTGAGATTATGAGTAATTACTCTCCCTCATTTCTCTATGGTTTTATTTAAACACTAAGATTTAAAGTTTACTTTAAAGCTGGGTGTGGGAGTACGTGCCTGTAACCCCAGCATTCAGGAGGTAGAGGCAGGAGTAAAAACAGCTCAAGGCCAGCCTCAGCTACATAGGGAACTCAAGGCTAGCCTATGCTACATGAGAGCCTGTCACAAAGAAAAAAAAAATCAGCAACAATTAAATAAGCTGCATTATATAAATAGTTTGTAAAGAAAGCTACTGCACAATGAGAAAATAATCAGGGCTTTAAGTGTATTTAAATGAAAACTTTTTAGGTAAAGCAATAGACTTACCACAATAAATGAGAACAGTTTATAAATAATTATATGAACCTAAATGTTTTTATTTTTAAAAATAGGTCAAATATACTTTTGTTGCTCTTGAAGATTGTGATATTGGGCCATGTTATAAGATTGCAGCTTGAGTCAAACAGCATATATGGGCAGAGATCTTCCCATAAAAGTAAATTCACACTTTATAAGAGTTGAGTATAGCAAAAGGGCATTTCAGGTTCTTCCACACAGACCACTATGCTCTAAGAAATTTGTTCTCCACGAAAAGCTCTGGGCTTTGCTCATGCTCCCTAGAGATAACTACAAACTATAATTTTCCACTCACGATGCCAACTGATAAACGTATGCAAATCGGAAGACTGTAGGTTGGACTGGTCACACTTGAAGTCTTATTAGTGGTTAGAGGTCAGGGAAGACGTTGGGTCATCTGCCATTAGTCTACTCAAAAATAAACTCAACCACAAAAGCAATCCTTCATGTATACAGTACACATCTGCACTGTGGGCTAGGAAGGGACCCAGGGTCCACTGAGCTACATCAACAGCCTGAATTTTACATCTAGAAGTCGTCCAGACTGCCCTGTGCATATGGCAGGCTCTACTTGTACCCTTTTCCCTTATAACCAAAGTGAATCTGACAGATTCCAGTGAGCTCTGTGAGTACTGTGAGTGCAGCACTCAACCTGGGTGTAACTTAGGGAGCCCCAAACTTGTAACAACCTGCAGTACTAGTCCCTTGACCTCAGTTTGTCTAATTCAAGACAATCACATAAATACAAATCAGTGAACTGTTATTTTCTATCCCACATAATTTGCATTTCATAAAATTACTCTAGAGCTTTAAAGATAAGTGTGGGATTAATTAAGTGAGTTGTTTGAGATGAGAAGATCTAATACATACCTGGTATATATTGAAATCTGCAAGTCTAACGACAACAGAGCTGGACATCAGCTTAGCTTTTGATGGCTGAGATAACACTGGTGGTGCTTTAGGAGTCCCTTTCAGAGTGGACTCTTTCTCTGTGAGAAACAAAAATTCCTCTCAATTCATTATAAAATTACTTTTCAAAGCTACTCTTCTGCTGCAGAGAAGACTGCTAGAAACAGAAGAATGCTCCATTTCTCAAACAAGATAATACACAGAGAGACAAGTATGCCTTTGTAATGATTATTCTTTAAAACAAGAATCATATTTTAATTATATTTAAGTCACTCTCTCACAATGTTAAAAGTGAAAAATTAACAAGCCACTTAAGAATCTAAATATTCTAAGTGGATATTATTATTACTGATTATACTAATCTGAGAGGTGTTGAGGACTAGGGAGCTGACTCAGCAGTTAAGAGCTCATGGTTCTCTCACAGAGGACCCAAGTTTGGTTCCCAGGACCCATGTTAGGCAGCTCACATTCACTGCCTGTAACTTCAACTCCAGAGGATCCCATGCTCTTTTCCGACTCCACAGACAATGCACTCCTATGCAAAAACCCATACACAAACATACACACATACACATTATTGAAAATAAAACCACTGAAAAGTGCTTTGGTCTATAAAACCGTTAGTCTACATTTTCAAAATTTAAAATACTGCTTCTCATTCTCCCCTCGGCCCCTCCCCATTTGAAGGAATATGAGGGGGCGTCATTTGGTGAAATACCTGTTTGTGTGTGCTGGGGAGAGGCATATGTTGGGGATTTAGGAGGTGAACCTACATTATGATCCTTCATAGCCTGTTTAAGCATTTCAACGTTGCATTCAAATTCATGTAACAACTCGTTAGCCCATCCATTCTTTGTTTTGGTTGCATCACTGAAATACATCCAATGATTACAACTATCTCCTGTAAAAGGAATAAGAGGAACTTCAATGTAAAGCTTTATATAAAACTCAGTCATTTTCTCAAGAGAGCAGCCTTTGTTCTGTTTTGAGAGAAGGTTTTGATCACAGGAGGGATCACCATACCAGGCTTAAGTCTTTAATATTAAAAAAAAAAAAATCAGTTTACTTCTCTAACAAAATAAGAGCAAGACAGAGGAAAAAAGTATCAAAAGCAAATAACCTAGGTGACTTTCTGTCTAGAACCTATCCTTGGGAAACAATGCTCAATTCAAAGCTAAAGATTCGGGCAATTTTCACAGATGCTCAATTACCTGGCAAACAGCTACTGTAAAGAATCTCAGAAAAATACCAAGGAAAACCCTTTCATCAAGACTTGTTGTAAAGTGACTAACCATAATCTAATACCTAAAGCTGACAAGATGATGGTTATCAAACATTTAAGGAAACAACAAAACTACACAACACAGGTTCCAATCATCAACAGACACATGTTTGGAGAGGACAAAACAAAATCCAGACTAGGTTTCTTTGTAATGACTTAGAAAAGTTGCAGGTATACACAAAAGTTAAGAAAATAAAGTCTGCTCCATGACTGTCTTCCCTTCTAAAATAAAAAAGAATCTCCACAGTCAGAAAGCTTTTCTCTTCCCTCGAGACTGAGGGCTGCATTGCTGGGTGTCCTCCTGCATGGCCCTGGTGCTGGGCTCACAGGCCTAGACAGCACAGTGACCAGCTGAAAGGTTCTGGAACTCTTCCCAACTAGGGCAGGCCCTGAGACATGCCCTCCAAAAGAAACTCTGTCTGTGCCAACAGAGAAGTGATAAGCACTGACAGGGAAGCCTAACATAAAAATCTTACTACTTTTTAAAAGTCCTGGAAATTCTATTATATTTTGTTTTTGTATTCTTATTAGTGTAAATTACAAAATGAAAACAAATACTACCAAATCTCAGAGATAGGTGTGATGGTCGAATTACTTGATTTGGCAATAAATTATCCTACTTTATTTTTGTTATTTGGTAGAAAAGAACATATCAACACTTGATGATTGAAGAGCCTGTTAAATCTTATTTACTGATGAATTTAGAAAATATAGAAAAGTGGGGGGAAATTCCAATATTATTTAAAAATTCAAACTATTATGACTTGATTTGTCACAAATCACAAAATAATACAAATACACGTTGCTATAATGCAATTTTTTATGTTTTAAAACCTGTATTTAGTATTGATTTAGATCATTTTAATTCTCTCTTCTTCTCCTTCCCTTTGTCTCTCCACCCCCTCTCTCTGTGATGCTGTGGATCAACCCAACCACAGCCTCACACAAGCTATTCAAGTTCTCAACCATTTAGTGATACCTTAGCCCAAATCGGTCAGTTTCTAGTTACAGTTTCTAATAATCTACATGAACCTCATTATGTCTAAGACAATTCTATATTCTTGGTAAAGTGCTGCCAGAAGAAAAATAGTAACAATATCGTGATCTCTTTTCTTCCTAGTAAGTTAAAACAAATGAACAATTAATTTTTTTTAAAAATTGGCTATGTCATTTTAAAAGCAAGATTTGTATATTTTAAATAAATTGTTATACACACCTGCTTTATGATAAGGATAATAGTCCTATGGTCAGCTGTGTGAAGGAGAGCTGCATAGCACCTCCACTAATACGTCTGTTGGACTCTGGAAGAGAAAAAGAATTAAGGGAGGGAAAAGGAGAGAAACACTAAGCAAATATTTGAAACATTGAATTTACCATTTAAATCAGATTCCAAGTAGCAACAGCAAGTATACATATCCAATATAAGTGATTAACTCTGGTTTATATCAACTAGTGCAACTTTTAGCATAGCTCCACAGTCCTTACCTGCAGCCTTTGAAGTCAGCCTGTGACAGGGCTTTCACAACAGAGATGTCACTGCAGAACCCACACAGTGTGGGAGACATCATCCAGGGTACTTATGAGGGAGATGTCACTGCAGAACCCACACAGTGTGGGAGACATCATCCAGGGTACTTATGAGGGAGATGTCACTGCAGAACCCACACAGTGTGGGAGACATCATCCAGGGCACTTATGAGGGAGATGTCACTGCAGAACCCACACAGTGTGGGAGACATCATCCAGGGTACTTATGAGGGAGAAGTCACTGCAGAACCCATACAGTGTGGGAGACATCATCCAGGGTACTTATGAGGGAGATGTCACTGCAGAACCCATACAGTGTGGGAGACATCATCCAGGGTACTTATGAGGGGAGTAATAGCAGCCAAGCCATGACTTAGAAAATACTAAGTAAAAATGCTTAGTTTTACCAGCTCGTTTTGTTACTGTGCCTTAAAAAATTTTGGGTTTTTCCTTTTCAATCACTAAAGCAGAAAATGACAACTATAAACCAAAAGACACAAAGTGGGCAAAGAAAATGACAACAAGTTCCTTTATAAACCCCACATCTTCCGCTCTCCATCCCTCCACTTTTGGGCAGTACTGGACTGACTGAACCTAGGGCCTCTCACGTGCTTTATAAGTGGACTATCACAGAGATACACCCCCAGCCCGTGAGGAAAGAAAGTCGAGAGAGGGTCTAATTAACTCGCCCTACGCTGGCTCTGGATTCCCTCCCTCTGTAGCGCACACAGACCTTGAGTTTGTGATCCTCGGGCCGTGAGGTCCAGTGCTGGACCGTAAGCCTGTACACTAAGCCAGCTCCCTCCCCCCTTCCGCCTGTGAGCCGACTCCTCCCCATCTCTCTGACGGCTGGAGAATAACTGCTTCTCCTAAGACTGTCTCAGCTTTAAAAACAATAAAATCCAAAGGATATTCTGACACAGGCCTGAAGACCTCAGGTCAAATATCTCCATTTTTAAGGGAGCTTCGCTTCCTTCTAACACTCACCAAAATGATGTAAACACTGTCTCTGAGGTAAGCCTGCCTGCTGAACTCTCGCATCACTAGTACGCCTTTGACACTGTGAGAGAGGAGCAGGAATACCGGAGCACTCCAAGTGTGGAACGCGGGTTTTCAAAACGACCAGGGACAGCTTCCTGCCTGTCCTATTACCCCAGTCTGCTCAGTAAGGATAAACACAGGGACACGAACTGAAACAGGAGTCAGTTTCCTTACGAAATGCTGGGAAGATGGAGGAGGGGACACGGTGTTAGAGAGCCACACAGTCGTCTTTATGTGTACAAAGAACACAAATTCAGGGCTGCAGAGATGGCTCAGAGGTTAAGAGCACTCACTGCTCTTCCAGAGGACCTGAGTTCAATTCCCAGCACCCAAACAGTAGCTCACAACCATTTGTAACTCTACTTCCAAGGGATCCACATCCTCTTCTGGCCTCCAGAGGAACTGAGCACACACCAGTGCACAGACACACTTGCAGCAAATTACAATACAACACAAGTTGATAGACAGGTGAGTTAATTACAATGCTTACCACATGTAAACACTTAGGAATGGACTATAGGATAAAATGTATAGATAGTTTCAAAAGACCGTTCTAAGTTATTTTATTCAAGGATGTCATTTATTCAGTCTTTGTTACTGTTGCTGTTTTCAGACAGGGTCTCTTTCTGCAGTCTTAGCAGGCCGGCCTCAATGTTTCAAATGTTTCCTTTCTATACCAATCTGAATGATGATATTTTAATAGATACTATATATAAATAAACAATACAGTATTGCAGTCAATTTGTAGAAAAGGCAAATAGTTTGATGTAAGATTACCTTTTTCTTTCGCATGAATATCATCACAGATGTGTAGATCTAGATGAGAAATCACTAGATGGTGGGAGGTTTCCTTAACATCAAAGTCAATTGAAGAATTTGACAATTGCATCATTGAGATCAGGAGCATTGGCAGCCTGTGGGGTCTTCACGTGCTGGCTGGATGAGGCTGCAGTAGAGCTCTAAAGATTCCAAACCACATTATCACTGCCTGCTCACATCCTCAGAATGGTACACACGAGCAAGGAACTCGTGAGAAATGAGCATGATACAGTTTATGTTGTATCAGCAGCTCAGCTGCCTTAAGAATACCTTCTGAATTATATAAAAACAAAACTATATACAATCTGACTATAAGCGCAATAAATTTCAGCAAATATCTGTACACACTTACATTCTTAGTTTTCCTCATCCTTACCTCTTCAATCAAAGCCACTTTCTCATCGTATTTCTTTTTATGGCTAAGAAAACTACATATATCATTCTTAAGTCTTCAGCTTCCTTATCCGTAACTTCCGGAAGATGTAGGTATTGCTTTCCCTTCTGGTTTGTTATGTCTTTTGAGTCATTATCAAAAACTCATGCACACACTTCCTCTAGACTGGCTCCATTCTCAGTCCTCCTCATTAGCTCCTTTCTTATGATGCTGTTACGCCGTCATATATCAACTAAACTGCCCCAAAGAAAATTCCTACTAGCACCCAGATGCCAAAATATACAAGGTCCCTCTTGTCTATGCAGTCTACTTGTGCAGGAAAACTGCCCTGCTCTAGTCCCGTAGGCTGTCCCTAAATTTAAAATTAGGCTGACAGGACAAGACACTGTGGCACACACCTCCCAGCACTCAGGAAGCAGAGGCAGGTTGAGCTATATAAGTTCAAGGCCAGCCTAGTCTACAAAGTATGTTCCAAGCCAGCCAAGGCTACATAGTAAGATCCTATCTCAAAACAAAAAACAAACAACAAACAAAAAAATCCACAACAATAAAAAGTAAAAATAGCCGGGCGGTGGTGGCGCACACCTTTAATCCCAGCACTTGGGAGGCAGAGCCAGGCGGATCTCTGTGAGTTCAAGGCCAGCCTGGGCTACCGAGTGAGTTCCAGGAAAGGCGCAAAGCTACACAGAGAAACCCTGTCTCGAAAAAAACCAAAAAAAAAAAAAAAAAAAAAGTAAAAATAAATAAATTCGGCTCCCCCAGAGAACTCAGGAAGTGGCATTTGGATAAGCATCACAAAATGGGCAGAATGAGACAGGACTCGCCATCAGCTCTGTAGGTGCTTACTTGTTTCCCTGGCTATAAGCTCTGTAAAACTCTGCTCACACCAGCAGGTAGAGTAGATGAGGGGATTTGTTTTAAAAATGGAATTCGGTACTTTACACTCCAAGTTCCGTGCCAGGATTGACAATGTGCTTTACTATATGATATTACTTCCAATAACCCAATCCTTCTACAGTTCTTTCTATGGTATATTCAAAACAAATAATGGAAGTCACTCGTCACTTAGTCATGAAAATCATTCATTTCTGCCAGCAAATATTCAAATTTTCTGTTTTGTTCCCAGAAGTATTTGTTCTTCCTGGACAAATCCATCACAGACTGGAGATTTGTAAGAGGGTGCCTTCAGTTTCTTAAGTAGGATAAGTGCAATTCTGGCACGGGAGAACATGTGTAACATCCAAAACCAGCATATTCTCAGGAGGTCAGAAGAAATAAAGAGCACATTAAGGTAGAAGGTATAGAATTCAATTTCCTTAAAATGCAAATCTCAGAAAAGAGTGTAGGGTGACTATGTGCTATGTGAACACAGGTCTCTGTGTGTCAGCATGTGCAGGTCAGAGGACAGCCTCACCTTCCAGCTAATTTGAGACAAGATCTCTCTTTTGTAGCTAAGCTAGCTGACCCACAACTTTCTGGATTCTCCTGTCTGCACCTCCGCCTTGTCACAGACACACTCCTGTCTGCACCCCATCTTGTCAGACACACTCCTGTCTGCACCCCATCTTGTCAGACACACACTGTCTGCACCCCATCTTGTCAGACACACTCCTGTCTGCACCCCATCTTGTCAGACACACTCCTGTCTGCACCCCATCTTGTCAGACACACACTGTCTGCACCCCATCTTGTCAGACACACTCCTGTCTGCACCCCATCTTGTCACAGACACACACTGTCTGCACCCCATCTTGTCAGACACACTCCTGTCTGCACCCCATCTTGTCAGACACACACTGTCTGCACCCCATCTTGTCTCACACACTGTCTGCACCCCATCTTGTCAGACACACTCCTGTCTGCACCCCATCTTGTCACAGACACACACTGTCTGCACCCCATCTTGTCTCACACACTCCTGTCTGCACCCCATCTTGTCAGACACACTCCTGTCTGCACCCCATCTTGTCACAGACACACACTGTCTGCATCCCATCTTGTCTCACACACACTGTCTGCACCCCATCTTGTCAGACACACACTGTCTGCACCCCATCTTGTCAGACACACTCCTGTCTGCACCCCATCTTGTCAGACACACTCCTGTCTGCACCCCATCTTGTCACAGACACACACTGTCTGCACCCCATCTTGTCTCACACACACTGTCTGCACCCCATCTTGTCAGACACACACTGTCTGCACCCCATCTTGTCAGACACACTCCTGTCTGCACCCCATCTTGTCAGACACACTCCTGTCTGCACCCCATCTTGTCAGACACACTCCTGTCTGCACCCCATCTTGTCACAGACACACACTGTCTGCACCCCATCTTGTCTCACACACACTGTCTGCACCCCATCTTGTCAGACACACACTGTCTGCACCCCATCTTGTCAGACACACTCCTGTCTGCACCCCATCTTGTCAGACACACTCCTGTCTGCACCCCATCTTGTCAGACACACTCCTGTCTGCACCCCATCTTGTCACAGACACACACTGTCTGCACCCCATCTTGTCTCACACACACTGTCTGCACCCCATCTTGTCAGACACACACTGTCTGCACCCCATCTTGTCAGACACACTCCTGTCTGCACCCCATCTTGTCAGACACACTCCTGTCTGCACCCCATCTTGTCAGACACACTCCTGTCTGCACCCCATCTTGTCACAGAGACAGGAACTAGAGATGCTTATATTACATCTGGCCTTTTGTGGGTGCTGGGGATCCAAACTTGGGTCCTAAAGATGGTCCAGCAAGCACTTTTCCCACAGACCCGTCTCCCTATCTTGGGTCTTCATTCTAAGACACAATCTCACTATGTTCCTTGTAAAGCCTCTCCAGATTCTTCAAAAAGTCAGTTTAAACTCCGGGGCTCCCACCACTCATCCACCACCTTCTCTTTTGGTTCTTCCCTTAGCACTGATGGAGAACCCAAGTGTTTAGATTTCCCTGTCTGCAACACTCTCAAGCTATTGAGGGCAGGATCACACGTCTACGTTTCCGTCCAAACAGGTGCCTGTGGACTCTTGTAAGCAAGCCAGCGTGAACAGCACGAAAGCCTGTAGTGTATGGCACGTCCACGTACCAGGCTCCATCACCAACAAGCTAAGATTGCTCAGAGATATTAATATTACTGCGTTAAAAAAATCCATAGCAGTATGATTTCATAACATCTCACAAAATTTTATGCCAGGAAGTGATGAAATTTACTTCTACTTTTAATAAAGTAAACAAATATACTACCCACTGGATTTCCATGTCCGTTCTACAAAGATGTTCATGTATTAGTAATCAGGATTTAATATTGAGAAAGACTGAAAAAAACCCTTTTTGGGGCTGGAGAGATGGCTCAGAGGTTTAAGAGCACTGGCTGCTCTTCCAGAGGTTCTGAGTTCAATTCCCAGCACCCACATGGTGGCTCACAGCCATCTGTAATGAGATCTGGTGCCCTCTTCTGGGTGGGCAGGCACACATGCAAGGAGAACACTGTATACCTAGTAAATAAATAAATCTTAAAAAAAAAAAAAAAAAAAAAAAAAACCCTTTTCATTCAGTTAAATGATGCTTCGGATTCCCCGTGGCCAACCCAGCACCGGGCAGCATCAGAAAGTTCCAGCGGAAGCTTTGTCTTCAGCTTTAGAGTCTCTGGACAGCTGTAGCTGTCTGTGCTGCCGCCTTCAGTGCCTTCTCCTACACGCCCAGGTTTTACTGCCCTTTACCTTTACCTCAAAAAATTAAACTCTTTTCTAACACAAGATCTAATTGGTCTTATAGTATAAAACCCAGACCCAGACACTGGGGTAAATGCTGAAAGATCAGAGACAAGGGAACAGGCCACTGCCAAGTCTCACCTCTAGGACTTCTCAGCCCCAAAAGCCTCAGTTCCTGTCTCCTTGCGCCTTATATAACTTTCTCCACCATCATATAACTTCCTTTTTAGTGCTGGGATTAATGGCGTGTGCCACCACTGCCTGGCTCTGTTTCTCCTAGACTGAGTCAATCTCATGTAGTCCAGGGTGGCTTTGAACTCACAGAGATCCAGAGGATCTCTGCTTCCTGAGTGCTAGGACTAAAGGTGTGTGCCACCACTGCCTGGCCTCTATGTTTACTCTAGTGTCTTGTTCTGTTCTCTGATCTTCAGGCAAATTTTATTAGGGTACACAATATATCACCACATTGCTTTTTTTTTTTTAATTCCTGAAAAGGATTACTGGGCTAGGAAATGACTTGGTGCATAAAAGCACTTACTATACAGGCATGAAGACTTGAGTTCAAGTCCCCAGCACTCACGTAACAAGTGGGACACTACCAACTCCAACCCCAGCACTGTGAGAGGAGGTGATAGGATTCCTGGGGTTGGTGGCCATTCCAGCATCAAGCTCAGTGAGAGACTATCACAAGGAAATGAGGTGCAGGGGTGAAGCAGGAGACTCAACACACTCCTATGTCCGCCATGGGTGTGTACACATACGATTATACCATCAAATACTGCTACACCGTCAATAATTCTGCCCCGAAAAAGAGCTCCAAACAAAACAAGCACTAGACACACAGTAATGTCACATACAGCATTACACTTTAACAGATTTAGATGAAGTAGATACTTGGTTTCAGTGTTACAATATCATATAAAGGAAATATCAACTCACCAATCTGTTTACACTAAGTTACAGACTGTCTTTTTTTCTGTGGATTTGTAGCATACCTGTGTAGGTTCAGGAGCCATACTCTTCCTTTGTTCTGTTGATTTTTCTATTGCTTCACTAAGAGACTTTGCATACTGCACCATAGCCTTCAACTGGGAATCCGTTAAAACCCATAACAAGTCATCCAGTATTAGAACTAATTTCGTTGCAATGACATTGCAGTCTTTCAACTGTAATAAAAAGGATTTAGAAAGTTAATCCAAGAATAAAACTTGTAACACACTTACATTTATTGAAAGCATAAAGATTGTTAGCAGGATTAAATGTGGACATGGACACTGCCTCCATTTAATTAAGTATTTGAGCCTTCAGGGTGGCTCAGTAGGCAGGGTCACTTGCCACCAAGCCTGATGGCCCGAGTCCAACCCTCAGGACCCCCATAGTGGAAGGAGAGATCCAACATCCCTAAGTCACCCTCTGACCTCCACCAACAGGATGGCATGTGCCCCCCCTTCCCACGAGATGAAGAATAATGAAAATGTAACAATATTCATTGAGTGCCTGTAAGATAGACTACTTCCCAAAGCTAGAGATGATCGCGCTAAAAGAGACAGACAGGTTCAGTACAAATGACACAGCATGTGTGTATTTCTATGTACAGGTGACAGCTCCTAATCGCTTCTAGTAACTGAACTCATCCTACCTGGGAGAGTGGAATTACAAGTCATCAAACACAAAAGGCCATTTCACCCACGGTTCACGTTTCTGGGAATCTCTGGGAAGCTCGGAGAAGCCTCCCTTCCTGGAGCTTACCACAGCTATTTATGTTAACATGTCAGTGACACAGAGCACAGAGCACGCTGCCGCGTCTGTAATTGGGCCTGTTTTTAAAGGTATCATCTCCTCATTAAAGCTCATCACCAACCCCACTGCGCGCGCTCTCAAGCTCTTCCGGCTAGCTTCTTCATTTATCTAAGTTACCAGCGCCATCTTTTGTTGTCTGTCTGAGGCAGGGTCTCTGTGTAACCAGAACTCTGCCTTCCGAGTGCTGGGCTAAAGGTGTGTGCCACCACGCCTGCCCCTCCAGCCAAATCTTACAAACTTACTGATGGCTAAAGTGTTGGCTATCAATAATAAAAACCATTATTGAGCAAAATTCAGTAAGAGAAACTTCCTCTTCGTCTCCCTCCTCCTCCTCCTCCTCCTCCTCCTCCTCCTCCTCCTCCTCCTCCTCCCCCTCCTCCTCCTCCTCCTCCTCAGCTTCGACAGTATTTTTTTTTCCTGGTTGCATTTAAGGACTAAACTCAGGGTCTTATTCATGCTAAGTAAGCATTCTACCACAAGTTACACTCCCAGCCTGTGAAATGAAACTGTAAGATAGTAAATACTCAACAAATATCTGAATCTTAAAATAAAAAAATAAAAAAAATTTTAAAAAAAGATGCTGGAGAGACAGCTGAGCAGTTAAGAGCACTGACTGCTCTTCCAGAGGACCCAGGTTCAACTCCCCGCACCCACATGGCAGCCCACAGCTGTCTATAACTCCAAGATCTGACACCTTCACACAGACATCCATGCAGGTAAAATACCAGCGCACATGGAATTAAAATAAACCAATTATTGTAAAAAAATAAGTAAAAATCTATTCAGTTGTTAGGAATACTAACCTTTGAGCACTTAAATCCTCATCTATCAGATAGGAGTGCTGTAACTACACAGCTCTCCATAAACTAGACACTATCCCAGTCTTTCTCTGTCTGCGACAGCGTCTAGACCCCACCACTCACGGTGTCCGTGTGCCACCTGGCCATCTCCTGCCTGTTTTATCACCAACATAGGGATCAAAACGACCATTGTACTTACTCTTCTTTTAAGGGTGACTCTGATTTTTGACTGGTTAGTTATTAATCGAACAGGAGCACACATAATTTCAAGATGTGAACTTTGGGTGGCATCTGCTTCAATTCGAATCATCTGCCAATTTATTTCTTTAAATGTCAGAACCTAAGGAGAAAACAGAGATTAGGAGCACACACTCGTGCAAAATGAGAAAGTGTACATTTATGAAAGCAAAGAAATAATGTACCTTCTCTCTCTCTCTCTTTTTTTTTTTTTTGTTTTTTGTTTTTTGTTTTTTGTTTTTTTCGAGACAAGGTTTCTCTGTGTAGCTTTGTGCCTTTCCTGGAACTCACTCTGTAGCCCAGGCTGGCCTTGAACTCACAGAGATCCCCCTGCCTCTGCCTCCCGAGTGCTGTGATTAAAGGCGTGTGTGTGCCACCACCGCCCGGCTAATGTACCTCTCAACTAATTTTTGTGACATTCTAAAAATGTTTGTCATGCTACTTTTACTCTTCATCAAACTTGGCAGGGTACATTCAGAATTTACTCATCCATGAGACTCTTGGCACTTTCATTTAGGAAACAGCACAATCAACAAGTAGCTCTAGAGTCATGACTAAAACAGTATCTGAATAAAACCCAAAAGGAGCTAAAGACACTTACTGCGAAAAGCTGACCTGAGCTTGATCCCTGGAACCCACATAAATACGAGAGATGAGACTCCACAAAGTTGATCTCTGACCTCCACATGCATGCCATGGTGCATGCATGCATTAGTGCATACACACACACATGCACACATGCTCCCAAAGACGTACGTGAACAGGCACAGACACACACACATGCACAGACACATAAATAGTCACACATGTACGCACATGCATATACACATGCATGCACACACACAAAAAAATTTTTAATTAAAAAGTATGACTCATTACTTTCATAAGGTGAAAGATGTATATAGTAAAACATTAAAATACCAACATTTTATAATTAAATTATTTAGGTTAATAGAAAAGTATACTTATAAGTCCAGAAGAAAGAAATCTACTAGAATGTGATTCTGGGCAACCATAAATGTAACTTTTATTTTGGGGTGTGTGTGTGTGTATGTACACGTGCATATGGTGATATTTCATTTGTACTAAAATGTGATTTTATTTGTATGCTAATAAATAAAGTTGCCTGGGGGTCAGAGCTAATAGCAAGCCATAGCAGAAGCCGGCGGTGGTGGTGCACACCTTTAATCCCGATCACATGACAGGCAGATCTCTGTGTGTTCAAGGATACATCCAGCATGGAGACACACGCCTTTAATCTCAATACCAACCATAGAGACCTGGAGGTCTGTATAGACAGGCAGTGACGAGGAGGTCATGTGGTTGGGTTTACAACCAATGAGAAGGCAGAACAGAAAGTCAATAAAAAGACAGACACACAGGAAGTAGGCCTCTTTCTGAGGGGAAGGACGGCAGCGGCAAGAAGGATAAGAAGGTGGTTTTAAGTCTCAGCTCTTAGCTACTGCTCTGACCTCTTGGGCTTTTAACTCTGCATTTGGCTCTGTGTTTCTTATTTAATAAGACTGTTACATCTACATGTGCATGTATACCTAAGTACATGTATGTGTACCATACGTGCATGTGCCTGTAGAAGCCAGAAAAGGGAGTCAGATCCCACTGGCACTGGAGTCACAGGTGGCTGTGAGTCTGCCAGTGCAGGTCCTGGGAACCAAACTCAGGTCTTCTGCAATAGCATCAAGTACTAGCTGTTGAGCCGTCCCTCCGGCTGCTTTTTAAATTGGTTTTGTGTGCATGTGTGTTTATGTGTACATATGTGTGGGCACCCATGTGCCTCAGCAGGAGCCAGTTCTCTCCTTTGGGTCCCAGGGATATTATTTAGGTCATCAGTATCGGCAGCAAATACCTTTAACCACTGAGTCATCTTGCTAGCTGCTGGTGCAATTTTAAATATCTCTGTTTATTTATCAACAACTAAAATGCTTTTTAGTACAAAAAGCGTTTTACCTCTCCTCTTTGTGGATCTTGGATCCGAGTAAACCTCAAGTCTGCATGTTCCCAGTGAGCATTGACACTATAGATTCGGAGCTGAGACAGTTCGAAGGAGGCATTGAAAGCTTTTGCTCCAATTCTGATGACAATAGAATTCACAGAAACAGTAATTCCCTCCACAACTTTTTCAGCAAAGCCATATTCACTGGAAAAACAAAGCAAAACAGAAACAAGATAAAGGAAAAATAAAGTCATTAAAAATCATTGCTGGGGCTGGAGCGATGGCTCAGAGGTTAAGAGCACTGGCTGTTCTTCCAGAGGACCTGAGTTCAATTCCCAGCAACCACATGGTGGTTTACAACCATCTGTAATGGGACTGGTGCCCTCTTCTGGCATGTAGGCATATATGCTGGCAGAATACATTGTAAATAAATAACCTTTAAAAAAAAAAAAATCACTGCTAATAGTCTTACATAAGTCTATATATACAATGCCCTAATATCTAACTCACATTTCCAAAGTAAAAAATGCAAAAAAAAATCAGTCTTACTATACGTTTTCCTACTTTTCTTTCCCTCTTACAATAATATTAAAAGTATTTCTAACTTTTCTAACTCTAACCAATCTAAACACCAACTACTCTACATAAATTTTAATCCATACTATGAAATCTCAAAAGTCTCTAGACAGAGGAGCAATTATAAAGTTAACATAACAGCCACCTTCCCTGTCACTGTTACTTCTGGTCCAAATCTAAGCTCTACAGCCAATGAACATGACGGCTCTCTGTCATCTCAGCACAGAACAGATGACATCATACTAACACACAGATCAGCCTAAGCTGGTTTGCTCCTTCCGATGTGCATCCCCGGAGCCATGAGCAGAGGTGCTGAGCTCCCACCAGCTCCTAAATAATATTTTTAAGATGTATTTTTATTTTATGCATATGAGTATTTGGCCTGCATGTATGTAAGTACACAGAGACCAGAAGAGGATGCTGGAGCAGGAATTTCAGAAGGTTGTGCACAGCCATGTGGGTGCTGGCAACCAAATCTGGATCTCTGCAAGGCCAGCAAGTACACCTAACTCCTAAGCTACCTCTCCAGCCCCAAAACAAGTAATTCTTAAAAATCCATTTCAGTCGGGCGGTAGTGGCACACGCCTTTAATCCCAGCACTTGGGAGGCAGAGCCAGGCCAATCTCTGTGAGTTCAAGGCCAGCCTGGTCTACAGAGTGAGATCCAGGAAAGGCGCAAAGCTACACAGAGAAACCCTGTCTTGAAAAAAAAAACAAAAAACAAAAAACAAAAAAACAGAAAAAAAATCCATTTCAACAAAGCTTATGTAACAGTCCAATGTTAACTATCTTTTTTTGTTTGTTTGGTTTTCTTTCTCTGTGTAGCTCTGGCTGTCCTGGAACTCACTCTGCAGACCAGGATGGCCTCAAACTCACAGAGATCCACCTGCCTCTGCCTCCCACATTATTTAGGAATGACAAGAGTTCACTGATGCATGGGAAATGAAGTGCAGAGAAATATTAATGTTTCAAGACTCCTAGAGGTTGCCTGAAATCACAGATATTACCGAACTGCATACACTAATTTTCCTATACACATATACCAATAGTGGACTTTAAATTATAAGTTAGACACAAGAGGTTAACAGTAACTAATAATAAAAGAGCAATTATAACAATGCATGGTAATAAAAGTCATGAGAATACAGACATCCTTAAGATAACTTTGTTTTTGAAACAGGATCTCAAATAAGTAGCCAAGGATGACCTTGAACTCCTATCCTTCTGCCTCTGGCTCCTGAGGGCTTGGATTCCAGTCATACACAACCACATTTGTTCTATGTAATGCTGCATAAATCCAGGGCCTTAAACATGCTACATCCCCAGCTCAAAATATCTTATGCTAAGCATACCCTTCTTGTGATAATGTAAAAGAAATATAGGCCTATGTGATGAGATTAAATAAAGCAAACAGCTAACATACTGTGATTTTTGTGTATTCCGACGTACAAGTTACTTGAAAACAAAGCACCGATACCTGAGAGCTGACTGATAACCCAGGCAGCTGCTCTGCTGACTGACTAACTCCCTATACGGCATGAACACACTGGACTAAAGAATGATTCACATCTCCAGCTAAATCTCAGTCTTTCATGACACTCATAATGGCATACATTTTCAAACTTATGAATTGTTTAGTTCCAGAATTTTCCATCCAGTATTTTTAGAATGTCACTAGTCACAGTTAAATGAATACATGGAAAGTGAATCCGCAGTTAACTACAGTAATAAAAAATTAAGAGAGTATCTGATTTATAGAATGTTAAGCTCTTCTGCACTGCCTTTGGCTACTCATTACTATTTAACAATATGATAATCAAGAGAAATGATGAAATTTAAAAATAATCTGCTACTAACTAAATGTGGAGACTGTCTCATAAAGAGGTAGCTGAAGCAGAGGGTATCTGGGGTGAAAGGATTTTATATTCTTCCTGTCCTGCTGCTGCAGATAAGAGAACCACCGCCATAAAAAGGAAGCCCCTGTGGTAGCCAGAGAGCAGAGGGCACGGCTTACCTCTGTCCTGAAGCAGTTGCAATCGGTGATGGACCGTTGGGGGCTCGCGGTTCTTCACACGCACTCATTTCCATTACGACTTTATCTAGAGACTAATACAAAATTAACTAATTAGAGATCTATGTGCACTGTCAAAGTATGAAGTGTATTTTCTTTCATTTATTTAGGGCCAAAGTAAACACTTGTGAAAATGCTTAAAGGGAAGAAAGCATTCAGTCCTTCACTGAGGCACTGATCTCCTGGTGGAAAGGCTTACATACACATTCTATGAGTCTGGGGGAGGAAATACAGAAGCAGCCATTAACTGATGAGGTCACTAGATTTAATGGCAGCATAAATTCTAATCCCATTTGTATCCTCACATCACTGATAAATTATATATTAATGAAAGGGACTGAACTACATCTAGAAGTCTTTTCTTGAAATCTGAGACATAAGACATAAACTAAGCAAATTATGAAATGAGCAAGGCAAACACTCCCATAAGAAGAAAACTATCTTTTCCAGATAATTTTTTTCTTGAGGATAGATCTAAGGCTTTTAATAGAGAGTGCATCTACAAATCCAGACTTCTTCATTCTACATTTTAAATATAGCATTTATCACTATCTAAAAATCATCTTATTTTATTATGTATTTGTTCAGTCAACCTCTGCTAAAATATAAATTTCTTCAGCTCAAAAAACAGGTGATTTCAGCTGGGCAGTGGTGGTGCACACCTTTAATCCCAGCACTCAGGAGGCAGAGGCAAGTGGATTTGTGAGTTCAAGGCCAGTCTGGTCTACAGAGTGAGTTCCAGGACAGCCAGAGCTACACAGAGAAAATCTTATCTCAAAAAACCACAAAAGAGAGACAGAGAGAGAGAAAGAGAGAGAGAGAGAGAGAGAGAGAGAGAGAGAGAGAGAGAGAGAGAGAGAGAGAGAGAGAGAGAACAGGTGATTTCATAAAGAATATTTATAGAATGAGGCTAGGCTAGGGGTAGGAATTAACATGTTCAGGTACACAGATTCAGTCTGGAACACCACCTCAAAATCTGGAATGAATGAGTGAGTCAGTAAAGACATGTGCTGCCAAGGTGGACACCTGGGTTTCCCAGCTGGAACACATGGCGGAAGGAGAGAACCAACTCCTGAAAGGTGCCCTTCACTCTCACATGCCGGCCATGGCATGCACACATGCACATGTGTGCGGGCACGCACACAAATAATAAGGTGAAACTTAGATGACTCACTGCAATGAACATTTGCTGGTAAAGCTGACTTTACTGGGTCAAAGGGTTACTATGTGACACTCCGCTCCCAACACCACGAGGACAAATGAAGAGGTGCTGGAGAGGCGGGAAAGATGGAGGCCAAGGGTTTGCTTTGCTTTGTTTTGTTCTTGTTTGCTTGATGCCTTTGTTTCGTTTTGTTTTAACTTTCTTTTGGGGGGGGGGGGCACCTGTAAGGGTTAGGGGAAGATATTGGGGGGACCAGAGCTGAGTGGAATTAGGGAGCATAATGTGAAATTCCCAAAGAATCAATAAAGAAATTACGTTAAAAAGGGGTTAAGTGATCTATCTTACTCAATTTTCTTTACATTACAGAACACGTGACCAAACTTCCCAAGGAGAGCAAAAACACAGAAAGCCTGGGTCAAAAGTTATTGAAGTAATTCTATAATATGTCAGAGAAGAATGAAAACATGCAATACGCCACCCGGATACAATGTCCTAGAAATAAAACCTTTAAAATCCCTCTTAAAGTTCAAGCTTCTCATACAACAGCTGAAAAAACTAAGCCCAATAAAAATAAAGCAAAAGCTAATAGATGGAAAGTCCAAGAAACAAAATATTAATATTTATAGAATAGTTGATTTACACATGTAAATGCTTATTTTTGAAACAGTTTCACTACTCACCAAACAGATGGGATGTGTTTTCAGTTTTGTCCATGGAATCTACAAATACAATATTTTCTTTAAAGTGAGTTATTAAAAATTGTATGAAATACTAATCAACAGACATCTCTGTATATAGAAGATAGGCAGCAACTTACAATATACATCTCTCCCAGACTGCAAATTACTCATACTATTGAAATCAGGGTATTTATGTTATAGGAGAAAATCATTGAAATTATCTAAATAAGATAATTTACATGTTTTAACAGTCCTTAAAATACATTTTAATTACATAATTTAAGAATTCTCAACAAAGCATAATCAATGTTCTGTGTATCAATTTGTTTGACTTTAGAATTCCAACCGGTATTTTTGCAGCTATTCAAATAAATCCAAATCATTGATGAAAAATGCCAGCTACAACAAAGAGACAATGTTCAAATATACCCAGTCATATCTTGGTTAATATTTGGGTCATAGACCCAAAGTAATGATGAATACCAAAGGATACAGAACGCTTTTCCAAAGGAAACACAAATTTTACTTTTATAAAAAAAAAAATTAGCACACACTGTCTCTCCCGAGCTGCCAGCTCTCAGTCTAAGCCCGGCCTCTAACAGCACGAAGTTGGATGAACTGAAATAAGATTAGTCACAAACATCAGAATAGTAAGAACAATGTTAACAATAGTGAAGTAAATAGAAATCCTTGAATTTCTCCAAATTACCAAGAAACACATGAAAGCGGATAAAATTCTAAACTAGCATGATAGCATGTTGTCTATAGTAACAAATGACAATTCTTACATTTAAATAAAGCATATAAATTTAAATCATTTCAATTGATAAGAAATCCTAAGGGGGGATTATCATTGAATATATGCCAAAGTGAAGTAGTTAAATTATAACCAAGTAATTGTAGCAAACTATCAATAAAATTGTTTTAAACAAAACATAACTAAGTTATTGGTATGACCTCAATTGCACTCATAAGGGATGAACAATCATCTATGCAGCTAGTTTCTGTGTAAACTGTAGGAATAAAACGCTTCTTTATGTAATGACCTGAAGCTGAGTACTCATGTTAAATACTAGAGAGGACCAGACCCTGATACCATGCGAAGTCTCCCGAGCCATCCCAGTCTTACCCTGATGGACGCTTTGTTACAGAACACTCTGTTGATAGCCAGCCACGTGGGCAAATCCAGCATGTTCTGGAGCACCTCCTCATCCAGCTCCAGGTTCTTCAGCTCACCTTCTCCTTTCAGGGTGCTTAGATTTATTTTGTCAGGAGATAAGTTTTTGGTAAATCTGAAAGAGAACACAGTTACATTTATTTTAGTGTTAGTTAATGTGCTCCAGAGTCATCCTAGCAAATACAGAGTACTAAAATGCAATAGCAACACTAAACACCAGAAGATCACAGGGATGGGATTTTTTTATCCGTGCTCACTGTCTTTCATTGTTGCTTTGATCTCTCATAGCCAAAGCTCTCTAATATTAAGGCTTAGGGGCACAGAGTTGAATGTCATATTCCTATAAATAGCTGAAGGCGGGTTCTTACCACCTGTCAAACTGGATGAAAATGTAGGAAGGACACACTACCGTTTTCCAGGCACTATGGTCTTGACCCATTCCCTAGCACATTTTGTTCACTGTAGACTCCATCACAGAGGAGAGACAATACTGTGCTGTTAACCAAGGTACAAGAAGTCAAGGGAATTGAGGGGCCCCTCTAACAGCAGCTCACATGGCAGCAGATGTCAGTCATCATCCGAAGAATGATGTTCGACGGTCATAATGAGGATCACCTGGCTACTCCCAGCATAAGAAACCGACCCAAACTACTTCAGAAATAAATTCTGGCACATACATAGTGTTTTTTAAGTTTCTGAGGAAGGAAATCACACAGCTCCACTTAGAGGTTGGTTTTGGTGTCCTCTGGGTAACTCTAAAAAATCAGTTATTCTGAACTCTGAGGTAACTCTAGAAGCGCCCCTTGTCCTTTCTATAGGTTTAGCTACAGGAATTTGGAAACTGAAATGTAAAGTACTTAATGACTTCTGGAAATCATAAGGACAGTGAACCTTTAACTGTAGTTGGACTCTCCACCATCTTTTTCTAAGAAGCATTCTTTAAAAGATTTTCACGTATTAAGGGCTGGGGATGTAGCTCAATGGTCATGTTTGTCTACCATGTGTTGGATTTGTCCACATGGCTCTGCAATCAACAGTTTCTGTAATGACGCATCTATTAGGGGATATCTGTGGAAGACCTTTCCTATTTCCATTTTTAATTTCATCTCTACTTTTTAACATACTGCTTGAGATAACTCAACAAAGCATTTAATATTTTTTAATTAGAAACAAACCTGAAAACAACCCCGTCTCTCAAATGAAAATTTCTAATCTTACCTGGCCACTCTTTATAAGTGAATTACTAGGCCTGCGGGAAGGCTTCGTAGCTACGGGCACTTACCAGCAAGCCTGATGACCTCTACATTGTCCTCTGACTTTCACATACGCTCAGTGGCACGAGTGTGCCTCTCACCCATGCACACCCATCATACACAACAGGAATAAATAAGTACTTTTTAAAGCCCTGTGACCATGGAGAACCAGAATGATACAGTTGAGAGCAAAATTACCTTGGGCTCTCTAAGCCCCCTAAATATCCATTCCCTGCCCTCCTCTGTGTTTCACTTAACACCCTGTAACTATTGGGTAAATCCATGGGAATGTACTGAGACCACTCAGTTTCACCAACCAAAGACTAAGCATGTCATCAGACATCATCTGGAGTCCACGGCAGCGATTTCCTCCACTATGCTGTAACCTGACTACCTAGTGTCTCTACCAATGTATTGGATGTAACTTGATTTATGATTGTATTTGCTTTTTTACTATAAAAGTTTCATGAAACTGTTACCACATTAGAACATGGTATTTGGGGTGCTCTGAATCTGTGTTCCTGGGCTATGGTCCTGACAGCTGTAGGGGTTTTTTTGTCAACACAGGAGGTGAAAGTTCATGAAGACCAAAATCACTAATCATTGTTATAAAAGTGTTACATTCCACATTCAGAATTTAGCATTTAATCTCAAGAACAACCAGAAATTGGTGAATAATTACATGAAGAAGGAAACTTGTTTGTTAAACACATTTAAGTGCATCTCATCCTTTAGATGCTTTGCCAGACTGACCAACAACAGCTTCTGAGAACACCATTCTTCTTTCTTTTGCTTTTCATTCATTCATTCACTCATTCATTCATTCATTTTGGTTTTCAGGGCAGGGTTTTTCTGTGTAGCCCTGGCTGTCCAGAAACTTACTCTGTAGACCATGCTGGCCTCGAACTCAAAGAGATCCACCTGATTCTTCTCCAAGTGCTGAAATTAAAGATGATTAAAGGCCCATGCCACTACCACCTGGCTACCATTCTTTCCATATCCGCCATCTCAAAGCTCCAGAATGCCTACCTCTTCCTCTACCAAGCAAACTCCTACTTCTCTTTTATGGTGTAGTGCTGTAGTCTGGATGATAGATGCTCCTCAAAGAACCCTGTGCATAAAGGCTTGGTGTGATACTGAGACATTAAAGAGGTGGGCCCTACACTGGGCGGTGGTGGCACACGCCTTTAATCACCTTTAATCCCAGCATCAGGAGGGGCAGAGGCAAGTGGATCTCTGAGTTCAAGGCCAGCCTGGTCTACAAAGTGAGTTCCAGGACAGGCACCAAAACTACACAGAGAAACCCTGTCTCGAAAACAACAAACAACAACAAAAGAGGTGGGGCCCGATGACTTAGAGCTGCTTTATCTCACACACACACACACACACACACACACACACACACACACACACACGCCTGCAAATGTCATAATTGATGGCTAACAGCAGGGTAACCTGACAACTGGGCCCTCACTTTGCATCTGTCTCTTTGTCTTCAATTTCAGATGAGATTCCTGCTCAAATCTGCACACAGGCCAACTAACCATTTAAGGAGTATCTGCATAAAAACTGGAATCCAGGGTTGGTTAGCCCTAAATACACTTATCCTAACTCAACTCCCTTCTAGATTAAGGGCACCAAGATAAAAGTAAAGTATTTCCAAGATTTGCAAGGACATCCAAAGGTTAGTTTTTACCCAGGTTCCACCTGTCCTGGAGCAGCATCTAGAAGCTTCTGGTCTTTGCTTGTAACTTGTAGTCACCTTACAACTCTGGGACAGATTTTTAGGCAGATCACTTCATGGTGAGACTGCCTCTCTCCCCGACCCCCGACCCCCAACCCCCAACCCCCAGTCCATCCCACAAAACGGGGAGAACCACTCTCTACTGACTTCTCTAAAACCTAGAGAATTCAGAACGGAGACGAGGACCAGCCAGAGCACAGTAGGACAGACTCCTTCATTCCTGCCTCCCTCTCACCCCTGAGCTACTACTGTTTCTTCCTGCTGAATGCTTGATCTTGTCTTTACGTTATGGTCACACCAATTCCATTCCTGCCCCACCTTTCCACCACTTCCTGTCCCTTGAATTCAGGAGTGATGGTTAAGCCAGGCCTCTGACCAATGACTCCTGTGACTGGTTCTTAGGTCCTTAGGGCTCTGATCCCCCTGTCCTGTTCTCACTCCCACTCTCTCTGACTCCTAGAGTTCAAGATATAATCACTTGTGTGTTCCCAGTGTATTCTCCAGCCATTGCTCTCTGCCATTTGCACCTGGTGATGCAGCCAGGGATCAATCCGGAGCCACTTGGACCCTGAGCCCTCAAAACTGTGAGCTAAATACTTCCCACGTAGGCTGTGTCAGGTTCTCTGATACAGCGACAGACTATGCAGGTCAAATGGAACTAAGAAACACTCCCCGGCTTCTCCACGGAGGCAGCCATTCCTTCCTGCGTATTTCCGGATTGTCGGCACTGTAACAATGGCAGGCTGTTATCAGAAGCTGACACTTCCATCAAGGACTATTTTGAAGAGCTTTATAGACTTCATCTGAGCTAATAACTCTCTGAAGTGGTATAATTATAGCCTTCATCCTAAAAGTGGAGAAACTAGGCTGGCAAGATGGAGCAGCAGGTGGGGGCATCTGGCGCCAAGCCTGAGAACCCACATGGTGGAAGATGAGAACCAAATTCTGCAAGTTGTCCTCTCTCTTCCACACTCACTCTATAACATATACACATGCATACACACAATAAATAAGTAAATGTAATTTTAAATTTTTCAGTGCTGAAACTGAGTCATTAAGATGTTAAATAATGGGCTGGAGAGATGGCTTGGTGTTACTCTTCAGAGAACCCTGGTTCAATTCCCAGCATCCACATAGCAATTCACAACAAGTTCCAGGAGATCCAGTGCCCTCTTCCGGCCTCACTGGGCACCAGGCATGCACATGGCATGTACACAGACATACTTAAAGGCAAAAACCCATACATACAAAATAATGAAAAATTTTTTTAATTTTAAAAATGTTAAATAACATGCTCACAGACATACAAAGGCTAGAGTCAGGAACTGAACACAGGCAGTCTGGTTCCTGAGCTTTACCGATGATGATAAAGAAGCCAGAATCACACACAGGGAAAAAGACGGCATCATCAGTAAAGGATGCCAGTCAAACTGGATGTCTGCACGTAGAGAAGCAAATCGAGCCATACTTACCGCTCTGCACAAGACTCAACTCCAAATAGATCAAAGACCTCAACAGAAAACCAGATGCTCTGAACCTGCTGTTAGTTCTCCTGGTTGTGTTTACAAAGTTGAGCGAGGAAATGTCAGTTCCTGAGGGGACCAGAAAGTCAACAGAGAGCTCTGCATCCCAGAGACAGTAGGAAAAGGCACTTGGCTTCCACACTTGAAGAGGCCTTTTTCTCCACTCTGAACACAAAAATGTTTCCCCTTATACATGACAAGCAAATACTTCCAAGAAATAGTTTCCTATCATTTATTTTATGATGCACTGTTCTAAATCTAAGACGATGACACATTCTCAATCTTTAAAACTACCAAACTTAATTTTTTTGAGACTGTCTCATGTAGCCCAGGCTGGTCTCAAACCTTCTATGTAGCTAAGCATGGCCTTAATTTCTGATCCTCCTGAATGCCAGGATTACAAGCAAGCATTTGTATGTCTAGTTTACACGGCATGGGATCCAAGGCTTCGCACATGCTAGACAAGCACTAGACCAATAGACCAACTGAGCTACACGCTCAGGCCCATGTCGTTAAATTTTTCATATGCTTCGCTTTCAGAGTTTATCACCAACTGGCCTATGTCACATTTGATATAAGAAAAATATTTTGTATA